TCAGCGGACCTGCGCTCGGTAGTTGAGCCGTATCGTGTCTCGGTTTGGGCAGAAGACCAGACAGTCTTGGGGATCGCTTCAAGACCCGAGTCGCTGCGTGACGAATGTCCGGCTGGAGAGCCCAACGAACGACACCGCTCTTCGGCTCAACGCTTCAGCTCCTCTCAACAGCATCGGAAAATTACCATCGATAAGCGACGATGGGAGGGAAACAGCAGCGTTTGCACATCCAGAGCCATAGCGGCCGCACTCTCCCTGGTATTTTGCCCTGAATGCAAGCGGGCCCGGGGGGGGGGGGGGCGATCACACTTTGCAGAGATGCGACTGGCGGCTCAGCACCCAGTTGTCATCTCCTGCATGCCATATCATATCACCAAGCAGTGGCCCAACTGCCGCATACGAGAGGGACCTGCCCCCCCAAGAAGAAAGGACGCTGCATGCGTCTACAGTACTGTATGTACACCAGGGCTCAGGTTCGAGGCGATCTTGGTCAGACGGCGACAACTTCCGCGGCCGGCGAAGACAGGGTCAGGCCCGCGAGTCTATGCCCTGATCCCAGACGACGGCGGCTCCCTCTTCCTGGCCCTACGTGAGGCCATCTCTCTCATCTCTTGTATGGTAAGGAGGCGGCGGATGGCTACCGAGAGGGGGAAGGGCAGAGTTGCATCGAATCTGGGGGTTTTCTCCGACCGGCACCATGCCTCTGTAAGTGGAGTGTCCAAGCCTGTCCTGGGTTCGTCGCCAACATACGGGAGGGACGTTTTGGGGTTGGCCACCCTTCATCAGTGTCGTTCGCGAATCGCCATGCTACTGTACTGCACAGTGTGGTGCAGCGCTGTTCCTGGGAGGTGGCGAGTCTCCTACGAGGTTTTGATCGGGGTCCTCCTGGCTCCTCTGGACGCTTCCAAGGCGCGAGTATCTTCAAGAGGAAGGTCGTGAAAGACCTGGTGCGCATCACGATGATTCAAGCAGGGATACCCCTTCCTATATTTCTGAAGCTCGTTTTATGGTCATCGATACCTCGCCAATGTTTCTACCTCGACTCTGCAGAATATGTGGACGGTCGTGGACTCTAATCTTCCGGTACTTGTCACCGGGGAACGGAAACGGGTTGCGAGCTCCAGGACCGCCCCCATACGCAAGGACTCATCCCTGACTCAACACACGGCACAACACACGGCCCAACATATTTGATTACCGTCTCGTTCGCGACCCTGGATGGCTGATTGCCCGGAGTACGGAGCCGAGCCAGAGGAACGCACGTCCGTGGTTCTGTTGACCCAAGGGAAGGTTCGGTACGGTACAGCCTGCATCCGCTTTCTGCAAGCAGCTCGTTCTGACCATTATCTCTCTTTCGAGTACGGACACCTGGCCTGAAGCTATCGGGAGAGAAGGGCCCAGCTACGCCTATTGCGGTTGCCGTCAAGATCCTCCTGGTCCTGTTGCGTCCAAGAATCGATTGGGGCGGCTGGTCGAGACCTGCGGCAGCTGCCACGCTGATTCGTAGGATGAAGGAGGGTGTCATCGAACGGGCGGCGAGCCTCCACCACCATCGAATCAAGCCTGCCCTTGCCCCCTCCTCCCCCTCCACAGGCCGCTCAGGGTTGTGCCATTCGGGAGGCCCACCGGCAGACAGTCATTGCTTGCGCCCCTGCGCAGGCGGGGTGCGAGAGCCACGGCTGCTACCCATCAGGTACGTAGGGAGTGTGCATGTGCTCGAGACAGGACAGACTTGGGAATCACACCGGTCCTGCGCAGAACGGAGCGTTCCCGGATCACAGAATCGTACGAGGACACACCACAGAACAACGCATTCAGGGGGAGGGGCGAGGGGGAGACGTGGAAGGGGTGGAGAGCGGGGATTGAGCCTGTTTTCTTTTGAGTGCCGCCCTCGGTTCACCTGCGACCTGACGGCAGCGTGTTCCATTCCCCGTATTCCGGTTTGCGTAAAGGGTCGGTCAGTCAGTGGTGGTGCGCATATCTCGGTGGCCAAGGTCATTGAGCCATGGCGAACAGCACAAGGTCGTCAGCTTCCCCGTCACTGTCGTCCTCGACGTCGGCCAGGGCCATCTGGACAAAGTTCCTGACCCAGGCTGCGTCCTGCGGATTCATCTCGTCGGCCCCATCTCCGTGTCTGACGGGGATGCGGCGAGGCATGTTTCCTCCCGCGCGTTCTTGGGCCCCGTTCGGTCGAGGACCAGCGCGCACACCGGCGCCTCTGTTGTTGCCACGTCCAGGTCCATGCCCATTTCCACGCCCCCCGCGAGCTTGGTTCGCGCCGTGATGGCCGCCTCGACCGCGGCCTGGCGGCGGCGGCGGCGCCTGAGGTGCAGGAGGAGGGACGGCGACGCGCGGTTGGGGGTCTCCGCCGATGCGCAGGACGAGAGGGCCTTCGCGCGCCACAGCGCCCGGGACGTTGTCTCGTGGGGCCTGGTCATTGGCCTCCCGCCCATCGTCACTGTCGCTGTCGCTTTCGTCATGGCCGTCTGGGTCGTCGTCAAGGACTGGCGGTACGTCAACGTCGTCTGGTAGAACAGCAGCAGGCGGTTGCACGGCAGCCTGGTCACCACCGGCGCCGCCTGCAAAACCGTAGCCGACGTCGTCTCCGTCACCCTCCTCGAGTTCCCACAGGCGCATGTAGCACGAGGTGCGCTTCCCGCCCGGCTGCTCATTGAAGTGCTGGTACGGGTTGGCGGGGTCGAGCCAGGCCGAGCACAGGTAGCAAAAGTGCGAGTTGCACCGGAAGCAGATCATGTGGTTGCAGCCATGGGTTTTCTGCGCTGGGGCAGCGCAGGTGGGACAGGGCGTAGAGTGCAGCTTGAGGTAGTCTATTGAGGCCTGCTCCTCGGCGGAGAGCTCGCCCGTGTCGCGTGGAGGCATGCACGAGACGAACTCGCCGTGCCAGGACTGGCAGCACCGGCTGCAAAAAGCGAAGCCGCACTCCTCGCAGATAGACAGCAGATCGGCGGGGTCATATGCGGCTTTCTTCTTCTTCTTCTTCTTTTTCTTCTGCTTCGTGGTGGCGCCGCCGTCGGCTTCCGCGTCGGCGTCGGCGTCGTCCGAGTCGTCAGACGCCTCACCCAGCTCGAGACCGGAAGGCTTCTTGTGCTTCTTGGAGCGGGCGGCGCCTTCGCACCAGGAGCGAGGGCAATAGATGGTGTTCTTGTCCGACTCGAGCTCCGTCTTGTACATGAGGGTAACGTAGCGGGTGACGAGCTCCTGGGAGAGGCCCATCTGGAGGAGCTCGCTCGGGCTGATGAAGGTCTTCACCCTTTTCTTCTTCTTGGCGGCGGCGGTGCGTGCGGCAGCAGGACCGCCAGCAGGACCGCCAGCAGGACGATCAGCGGCAGCAGCGCGGTCTTTGGCACAGCTGGGGGCGAGGCATCGCACGGTGGCGAGGTCGCCCTCGGTGATGGCGGTGGCGTAAAAGTCCAGGAGGCAGGCGGCGCAGAAGACGTGACGACAGTCGAGCATCTGGTGGCAGACGGCGCCTTTTTTGGGCTCTGCGCAATGTTAGCAGTCGTGATTCACTACCCCGTCCAGAGCACTGTCACACGCTGGCGAGATCAGGTCGGCAGCAGGAAGACGGGCATGTACACCAAGTGCAGTGACATCTGAATTATAAAAATTCGCGCATGGGAGGGGAGAGGGGGCATCCTCACCGAGACAGATGCCGCAGTCGAACGTCTCGCGCGCGAAGGCAGCGCGGCGGGCCTGAATGTCGTAGTCGAGAATGGCGAGCTTGTGCGAGGGGTCGATGCGGAGCGTGCCGGCGGCGTCAATCATCTGGAAGACAGCGTCAGCGGCCTGCTGGACGTGGTCGATGTAGTCAAAGGCGACCAGGTTGCGGCCGGCATCGGCCCACATACGGGGCCCGTCGCGCTCGAGCTTCTCGACCGTCTCCGGGGTCAGCCAGGGCGGCGTCGTGGTGATGGCGACGGCGGGGGGCTGCTCGGCGGGGTAGCCCGGCGGCAGGGCGATGCGCAGGAGGACGGCGGGCAGATGGACGAGCTCGTGCGAGTCGACGGGGCCGTCGCCGGTCTGGGCGGTCGCAGCAGTGGCGGCGGAGGTGGTGGCATCCTGGGTGGTGAGAGGGTTGGCCGGGTCCGAGGCGGCGGGGAAGAGCACGGTGACGGGGTTGGCGGGATGGACGGGGAGCTCGAGAGAGAACTCGAGGCTCGTCGGCGTGGCGGGGGCGGGCATGTGTTTCTGAATCTCGGGGAAGATGGCCTCGAGGGTTTCGAGCTCGATGTAGCGCTCGTCGGCGCCATGGTCATCGTCCATGGTGGTGGTGGTGTTGGTGTTGATGTGGCGTCTGGGGCGGCGAGATCATAACGAGGCTGTCGTCTGGATATGCATAGATGAAGAGATGTACTGTAATGCAGATGCAGATGCAGATGCAGATGCGAATGAGTTGTTTGCGCGTGAAGGCAGTGGTAGTCAAATCATGAGCGAAGCGTTGTGTTGTCTGTGCTGAGGTGATGATGAGTTGAGGTGGATGTACTGAGTAGTCATGTACCAGCAGTGAGGCACTGAGCAGTCATGTACCAGCAGTGATGCACTGAGTAGTCATGTACCAAGTAGTGGCGTTGAGGCGAGATTCGTCGGTCGGGTCGACAACCCACACTCACGCAGCCAGGGTTCGAAAAGGCGCCCAATGGCTCGTTCTGGCTGCCCTGAGATGGAATCGAGAATCTCGGAGCGGCGAGATGGCGGTCGATCGTGTCATCCTGTTCTATACCTTTCGCTCCCTTCTCTGCGCCGCCCTTTGCTTCCAGACGGCGTGCTCCAGAAAGTGGTGGCGGACAAGAGGTCGTGGGATGACTCTTTCGCCGCCTCGCCGAGAGCACGATGAGGCCTGAGCAGGGCCTCAGCACCTGCCTCAGTACCTGCCACCGTACCTGACGTCTTACCTACCGGGCAGCACCTGCCAGTAGCCCCACGAGGGAGCACCTGCCCGGTAGCACAGCGAGGGAGGTGCTGACGCCTGGAAGCCACGAATGGTGTGCGATTATGTCAGCATCTCCAGTCGTTCCTGACCTCCCCACACCCAGAACCAGACCCAGACCCTGGGAAGGTGCCACTGGCGTCACATGTCTCGTCTCGAGGCCAAAGACGCCAAAGACGCCCAAGACTCGACATCGTGGCCTCGACCCTCGACCACCACCGCCACGCCTGCCTCCCATTGACCGTCCAACTCTCCTCTGCCTAAGCTACCGTCCTCCATTCGGAGAGGGGTTGATCGTTAGGCCTCTGATCATAGGCCTCCGACCGCCGACACACCCCGTCGCTCCCTCTCTACCCACAGGGCTGCCGCTGCTGCCGCCGCCGCCGCCACGACCATGGATGACACGCGACCCCTCGCCTCGCTGTCCCTGACCCACGTCTACTATGTATGCCGTGCCCTCTCCGCTTCGTGCAGGCCCCTCTGCCCCCTCTGCAGACCTTTTTCCTGCAGCTCTGTACGAACCGCGTGAAGCTGACGCGCCGCACCGTAGGACCCCTCCGACCCCCTCTCCCTCGTCTGCGCCTGGCTCGCCCTCCTGCCGCAGGCCCTCTGCATCGTCTACGCGACCCTGGCCTTTGCCTCGCGCGAGGCCGAGGTCGCCCTCATGTTCGCCGGCCAGCTCGCCTGCGAAGCCGTCAACTTTGCCCTGAAGCGCCTCATCAAGGAGGACCGCCCCCGCCGCATCCACGGCAAGGGCTACGGCATGCCCTCGTCCCACGCCCAGTTCGTCGCCTTCTGGGCCCTCTACCTCGTCCTCTTCCTCTTTGTCCGCCACCGCGGGCCGCCCGCTCGACAGACCGCGACAGACGACAGCAACAACAACAGCCGCAACAGCAGCAGCCCGCCCTACCGCTCGCGCGCCCTGTCCCGCGTCGAACGCGCCGTCGCCGCCCTCGTCGCCGTCGCCACCGCCGCCGCCGTCGCCTGGAGCAGGGTCTACCTCGGCTACCACACGACGAAGCAGGTCCTCATCGGCCTCGCCGCCGGCGCCGCCTGCGCCGTCGCCTGGTTCGCCGCCACAACCCACGCCCGCGACGTCGGCCTCCTCGCCTGGGTCCTGCGGTGGCCCGTTGTGCGCTGGTTCCGCGTCCGCGACCTGCTGCTCGAGGAGGACTTTTGCCAGGCCGGCTGGGAGCGCTGGGAGGAGAAGCGCCTGCGTGAGGACGACGCGCTGGTCCGCCAGGAGAAGGCCAAGAAGAGGTGAGGGCGATCGAGTCGAAACTGGAGAAAGAACCCCCCCCAAAGAATAGAAAACATGCACGACCGAGCAACGTATGGAGTTGCAATCCACCGTGCCGCCATAATCATCACCGACTGCACATGTTCATGCTGAGCCCGTCTTGCATTCAAGAAAGGTACCTAGAAATATGCAGAGGCCATGCTCTAGCCCATCCTCAGTGGAAAATCCCCAACCCCTCTCTTGCCGACTTTTCGTGTCCGTCTCTTACTCGCTCGGTCACAAACACACTCACACACACACGCCTGAAATACCAACTTCACCAAACCCAGCGTCGACCGTCCCAGTCATATAGGTATCAGATTTCTGCCGTCACAGAAGGAGAGTGTAAAAACAAGACGGCCCACGCCGTCTACGAAAAAAAAGGGCCATATATGTGTCATGAAATGTTCTCTCCTCTCCCACAAACTCCTTGCCAATGTAATCAACACAGCACACCATCTCTGTCTCTTACGCCCTCATACTAGCCCGCACGCTTGCCCACTAGATCCAGTCGGGCTTGTGCAGCAGGTCGCAGTTGCAGTTGGGCTTGTAGCACCTCTCCTTGCCGGCCCGTTGTGGGCTGGCCATGCGCTTCGGTGTGTCAAAGCCCACACCCTTCGGGCTCGTGATGCGCGATTTGGGGCTGTACGGCGTGTACACGGCCGAATTGAGTGTCGGGCCCGAGTCGCGCGCCGCCGACGAGCCGATGAGTGTCGACTTGCCGTCATAGTTGTCGGTGGCAGCCGCGTTCAGCGGGCTCGGCCGCTTGGATGCGTCCTTCTCTCGCTCCAGCGGGCAGCCGAGCACGTGAATCTCTTCGCTATCCCGGAAGTAGCGAGAGTCGAGAGCTGGTGCGTCCTCGGCGTTGGAGAAACGTAAGCCGATCTGCACCGTGGCATGGGAGTGCATGGAGGAATCGCGGCGGTGGCGGACACCGCCAGCGTGAACTAGTGGTGGGGGCACGAGCGACTGCATGTCATCGTCGTTGTCAATGAACTTCTCACCACGGGGCGTCGTTGCGTTGGGCGAGTATGTTGTCGCGGGAAGAAGGGTGAAGGACCGTGCGCCGCTGCTGTCGCGAGGGAAAAGCGAGTAGGTAGACTTGCGGATCTGGTCCTTGATGACCTGGAGTGTGGATGCGGGCGGTGTCGGCTCGACGATCGTCGGGCCAGACGGGATGGTCGGGGTCCGCAGAGCAGGCAGGCGAGGGGCGTTGCGGCTGTCATAGGTTGGTGTGCCGGTCGGACTCTCGATGCGCTCTTCCTCCGTCTTACCATACGCCACGCTGCTGTCCAGGCGCTCAGGCGCCCGTGATCGAGATGGCGAGCCGGCGTTCGAATTGTAATCGTAATCACCTGGCCAAACTCGGATGCCTTCCTTGAGCTTCCTGCGGTCTTTTTCGCACTGCTCACGGGCACCGATCGTGGCGAGGCAATTGGCGCGGAGGAACAGATGCAAGCCACCTGTGAGAAGACCGGACAGGTTGGCGACGACGGAGGCGATCATGGAAAGATTCAGGGGCTGCGAGCCGGCAGTCCGAAGATCGTTGAATACGATGGTATAGAAGAAGGGAATCATGAAGACCTGTGCGCTTGTAAGAATCGCGTGTTATCCAGGTGGCAAACGGAACAACAAACATACGGTAGAGATGATGGCCATGGTCAAGTAGTAGACCATCCTTGAGGCCGCCACACGCTCAGACTCCTCGATCTGGCAGTTGTTGTGCAGCCGCCAGGCAATGATGACAGTGCAGACGAGGAGCGTCGCGGCAATGATGATGAGGAGGATGAAGACGCCAGCCTTCCAGCGCTGGACAAACCAGAACAAGGAGCCAAAGCAAAAGTTGGGAGGACGAATGAAAAGCGTGACGACAAAGGTCATAAGCAGTAGGGTGCCAACAATGGCAAGGCAACCAGCGACAGTCCATTTGCCCCGACCTGCGAACGGCTGCTGTCGTAATGCCCGTGAGGTGACCTCGAGGCCAAAGACAAATTGAATATAAGGGACGATGAAAACCGCTGAAGAGAGTATTAGCAAACAGATTGCATGACGACGGTGAGTGTATCGACGGACCAGGCAACATCATCTGAGAAGTAGTGGTACAGCCCAGGATCAACATGGACTTGAGACCTGTCGACTGTGCGACGGCGAATGTAATGCCCTGGACGATAATGCCGACGGACAAGACGAGGGGAAACGTCTCTGCTGGCGCGACGAAGGTGAACCCGCAGGCCCTGGCGAACGTTAGCTTGACAAGACCTCCCATGGCTCTGCCATGGATGCCCACGCACAAGAACTTGAATCTCGGATCCTTCCGCTTCTTCGTGGCGTAGCTGTGCCAGATGATGCCGACGGCGGTGGCGAAGGCGGCGACGACATTGAAGGCGGCGAGGATGATGACAGACGTGCGGATAGACTTGGCGGCGGCGAATCGAAACTCGTTGATGAGGGCGGCCTGGGAGGTGTCGTTGTTCTGGCCGGCGAAGGAGTTGGACGAGCCGCCATTCGTGTTGCCGATGCCATTAGCACTGCCGTCGTCCCGCGCCCAGAGGTCGTTATGGGGATTCATCCAGCCCCAGGAGTCCATATTGGCGAAGACGGCAGGCTGTCGATATTAAAAGAGCGTAGGCGACCAGCCGCGACGAAGCCAAATATCAGTTGGTAGCGGAAACCATCCAAGCCATGAACGTTGCGTTGTCGTGTGGGAACGCCTGTGTCTGGTAGATTGGCGTGGCGGAGAGAAAATAAAGGGAGATGACGGGAAGGAAATTGAACGAGTGGATGGAGGATGGGATGAGAGAGGAGAAGAATCAAGCTGTGACGAGCGAGGGCCAGGCCATAGTCAAGAGCGAGGGAACACTGAGAAAACGGCGGACCTGGAGGACGGGACCATGGATGGGACGAAACAGACCCTGAACCGCCGCTAGGCCTGGCTTGGGGCCTATGAATAGCGAGAGCGGCAGACGCTGCTCTGGGGACGGGGTACCGAGCCGTGTCTACAAGGTCAACGTACAGGCGGCGATACCAAGTACCTCACGGTTGTGTGTGGCGGGCTGATGCTGAGGCGCGGGGAGAACGGGTACAGAGGCACACAGAGACCCAGGCACAGGCCCCGCGATCTGGATTGGGCCCCACGCGGACGAGAGGCGAGCCGGCTCGTTAGCCAAACCGCCACACGATCCGGGCATGAGAGGCTGTCGAGGTGAAGCCCGGGGCCACGGCAGCACTGCGATTGGACCACGGAGCTGTACGTGGTGTGTGGGCGGCGTGTAGGCTGACAGGCACAGCAGGCTCTAGTGCGGGAGTCTGGCCTTCTGACGTGCAGATGCTTGGTTCACGAGCCGGGGGCCGAGTCCTTGTTCGAGGGCGTCATTTCGTTGACGGCAACCGACAAAGACGCCATGGTACGCTGACAGGGCTTCCTGACAGCCAGCCCACAAGACCGACTGGGCACGACAGGGAGGGCGAGTGGGATGTTGCAGGGCACCACCTCTCGATGAAGCCGGGTTTCTGTTCGAGCCCCTCTACACCAAAGGTTTGTCGAGCGACCAAGTGGGCGTGCGAGCGAGCAAGCGAGGGAGAGAGCTGAGCAGCAGACAAAGAGCCGGGAAGAGGCATTGACGTGGCGAGAGGCTCTGACGCAGTGATGGAACACGTTGAAGTTTCGTCGTGTCGATGGCCCCTGTTGTTCTGGTTGTACCCAGTCGAACTGGACGAGGTGAGGTTGGGACAAAGCAAAGCGCTAAGCCTGAATGAGCCTAGGGTCGTGACTGCCGAGGCGTGGATCAAACCTACCTCGTGCCCCTTGCCCCTTGCCCCTTCCCCCCACTCCGCCTTCTCCCGTACCCTACCTTACGTAGTGGTCCGTTGCTCTTACCTGACGTGTGGCTTTCACTCGCTCACTTACCTTCAACTTACCTGATAAGGTACGGTACCTTACTCAAGAGAGAAAGGGCAGAGGAAGTCGCTCCGGACGATACATGACGGGGCCAGCCTATCACTGCTTCAGAGCTCTGCCACATCCACCCATGGCGGCGGCGTCGCCTGCCTCAGGATTTGTCTTCACGAATCAACTGATGCTGCTGGTTGGTCTCTTCATCTGGCTACAACCTTTGGCTCGCCAGCTCTGCAACTCATCCCAGATGCAGCGTGGCTAGCTGATTTATGATAGCGAGCATCCAGTTAGCATCTTCAGAATGGCATTTCGACGCAAACAAGACATGTCAACTCGACATCGGTCACATGTTTGCCCTCTGGTCCAATCGTCGAGTCGACCCCAATATACCTACTTCATTTTGCATTCAGGCTCCCTCGCGACCCCGCCAGCGGACGCTCAGGAGCAGCGCTTAGCGAGGCTCTTTTCCCAAGGTCGGTTCGTCTGTTCCCCTCGATTTGCAGCCATGTGAAGCAATCCCCGTGTCAGAAGGAGAAAACCTTGGCCAGGGGTCAGTCACCTCAGGTGAGGATGAACGGTCTACCATACCTAGCCCGCCGTCCTCCCTTGCTCACTGCAACCACACTGAGGCGCGGACAAGCCCCCTCGGCTTTCCCCACACTGGCATCCCACCCGCCAGATAGCAAGCCCGCGCGCCCTGACAGGCTACGGCCTGCCTCCCCGTCAGCTGTCATCATCTCGTCTCGCCTCACAGACCAGTCGCAGTGGATGCTTCTTTGTGCTGTTGAAACGAAGTTGTTCTAGTCGGCATGAGCTTCGGCGCGGGCTAGCACCGCACCATTACCTGAGGCAAGCTGAGCCGGCCGGCGACTGACTCTTGTCATCGTGTTTCTCCATCCTCTGATTCGTGAGTGGCCTCTATCAAGGCTATCTATCGGCAGGACGTGGTGTCTCTTACACAGAGAAGCTTGCGCTGCGGAATGACGATGGCTCCAGAGGCTCCGCCTTCGTGGACAAGGAGGGTGTCAGGGGCTGGACGAAGCAGCTTTCTGGTGTCTGGGATCTCCAACCTTTCACCTACGCCCGGTCTGTCTCCAGCAAGCATGTCGGTTTGATAGCCTGTGATGCGCTAGTCGTCATTTCCCAGGTGAGTCGTTGCTATTTTGTATGCCGCGGCGAGAAACCTCTTGCCCATCACACATCTTCGCATAGAACGACTGGTATTCACCAGCATTCATGCTCCGCTGGTCGATCCTTGATGATCTGACGGCCTACTCTATATGAAAGTCCCGTGTGCAATGGAGCCGCCGATCACGGTCAATCCTTGAGGCCCGGGAGCAGAGTTCGTCGATGTTCTCGTGTCAGACAGCCTATCTCTGTGGAGCAGGCCAGCTTTGCTGGCCCAGGCTCGGGGCAGACAGCAGACCCAATCTTCGACTGAGGACTGACCAGATGGTCTCCCCATCGTCTAGAAGCCGATGCCAGCTCCTCACGATGCTACCTACTGAAGATCCCAGCACAAGAAACCCGCCCACAAGCGCAATCGTCTGGTCCAGCTCGCCCAGTTTCGTTGCCGACTGCGGCATCAGCCCCGTATACATGGCGAAGTGGATCATGACAGATACGCTGTCGCAACAACAGAAGACATAGTAGATCAGTGTGCCAAGCAAGTGGGGCAACCCGTTCTTCACCCAGCTGAAGACGGCAAATCGTCGGACCAGCTTGCCATCTGCAAACAATGCCACCGGATGGAACAAGAACTCGGCAGCCCTGATCGTGATGACGAGATGCTGGCCGTCGCCGACGTGGAACGACCACCCGCCGAGGGGCACAACTTGGTAGTTAGCTCGCGCCGAGTTCGCCGAGTAGGCCACCATGACTGCAAGCGTGCAGTACACGTGAACGGGGATCAGCCATGCGAGACGGGCCTTGAGCAGCGGGCCGCCTACGCGCAGGTTGGCGACAATCATAAAGGCGCACGGCAGGCTGACGGCACCGACAAAGTCATGACACAGCACGAAGGGCGCCTGCAGGGCCATCTGACGCGCCGAGTATTTCGTGTCGGTCGGATCGCCGCGGAAGGCTTCAGACGTTCCAGACAGCTGATAGAAGATATCGGTAGCGGCCACGGCGGGGATGAGCAGGAATGCAGCGAGGTCAGCACTCAGCACCCAGTCGTCGCTTGTCTTGCGCTCAAGTGACCAAGAGAGCAGCAGCGCCAGGCCCGACAGCATCCAGGCGCCGGTCGTGCCGGGGCCGTAGAGCGACGAGACAAGTCCCAGCGGATCGGGAGAAGTGGTGGCGTCCTCCATTGTCCTGCTGCCCGGCTCGAATTGAAGGCGATGGTACACTTTGCTGACGCGGGCTTTGGCGTGTATGCATGAAAGTTGAAAGTTGGCGAGTGTCCGCCGAAGTTCCAAGGGTACGGAAATTGTGACGAGCAATGCACAGTTGGTCATCCAGACACGTTTTCTACTATTCGGGAGACTGGCGGCCTCACATCGTGATGACGGCAGGCTGTGTGCTGGCGCTGACGATGCAGCATCCTGGCGAGGCAGTGAGGGCGCCACGTCCTGAGCCTCGCATCCTCTCAACCGTCGGAACAACGGCATCTGACTAAGGCGAAGGGCCTGATATACATACAGCGGTGAGGGCTTCAGCTCCCGAGCCACATCCTATTCATCCGTCTGCTCAGCTGAACGATATTCACGTGACTATATCCCACGTGATCCGGAGAAGGCCGACAAGAGCCACCGCCTCATCTTCCGTTATCACGGGTGGGCCAACCCCGGAAAGTGGTCCTAACCGAAATAGTCAGGTCGGCAAGCCGGGGCGCCACAATTTCGGCAATGACGCCGGAATCGAGCGAATCCCCGGCGTCATCCGTTCCCCCTCTCCCCAGTATCCTCCCCGCTGCATTCGCAAATGCCAGGCCAGCCCCCCTTCAACCCAGGCTCTTGGATGACAATCTGGCCAGGGCGGGACTGGCCCGTCGAATTCGGAGCCTTGCCCATGTGGTCTTGGTGTGGGGAACGGCGGGATCGGCACGAGATAGCATGCAGCTCACAGGCTTCGCGCAGAGGGGGGAAAAAAAGTGTTGATAAAGATGAAGGAGTCGCTTCCGAGGTGAACTTGGTCGGTCTTTTCTCCTTCTCTCTAGTCCACGCTCGTCTTCCCCCCCCCCTCCGTGTAGCAGCAATCAGACCCGACCTCGTCACGATGCGTGCCTCTCACTTTGCTGCCGCCCTCGTTGGCGCCTTCGCTGCGCCTGGCCTGGCATGGAACACTGATAGTGAGTCGCGACGCTCTCTCGGCTGCGGCTGCGGCTGCGGTTGCGGCTGCGGTTGCGGCTGCGGTTGCGGCTGCGGTTGCGGTCCCCCCCGTCTCCTCTTCGTCAATTGCACAGCGTACTGACCTCGAGGCCCCCAGTCCACCAGCAGATTGGCTTCGCGGCCGAAAAGTTCCTCTCGCCGGCAGCCAAGGCCATCCTCAGCGAGATCCTCGAGCCCGAGTCGGGCGCCAGCCTCGGCCGCATCGGCGCATGGGCCGACGCGCACCGCGGCACGCCCGAGGGCCGGCACACAACGACATGGCACTGGATCAACCCAGCCGACCAGCCGCCGAGCTTCTGCAACGTGCACTACAACCGCGACTGCACGTCGGGCGGCTGCATCGTCAGCGCGCTCGCCAACGAGACGCAGATTCTCAAGTCGTGCATCCGCTCCGTCAAGGACGGCAAGCTTGTCGGCGGCGCCAACGCCACGTGCGCCAACGCCGCCAAGTTCATCACCCACTTCATCATGGACATTGCGCAGCCCATGCACGTCACGGGCATCGCGCGCGGCGGCAACGACATTCCCGTCGTCTTTGGCGGCGTCACCACCAACCTGCACGCCGTGAGCCGTCTTCCCGTCGTGGACCGTTGAGAAGAGAATTTGTGTACTGACACCCGCCAGATCTGGGACGGCCGCATCGTCTACTCGCTCGCCGGCAACGTCACGGGCTTCCCCAACACGACGATCCAGCCCTTTTTCAGCGACATGGTCGACCGCATCCGCGCCGACACGTACTTTGTGCCGACGCGCGACTGGCTCAGCTGCACCGACCCCTCGACGCCGCTCGCCTGCCCGCTCGAGTGGGCGCGCGACGCCAACCAGTGGAACTGCGACTACGCCTTCAGCCAGAACACCAACGCCTCGGACCTGCGCACGAGCGGCTACGCCGAGGGCGCCTGGCCCATTGCCGAGCTGCAGATCGCCAAGGCCGTGCTTCGCATCGCCACGTGGTTCAACAAGCTCGCCGACTGCAACTTCAAGGACCGCGAGGTCGTCCTCGACCCCTGGCCCATGAAGGCCTGGCTCGGCGGGCCCAACGCTGGCAACTAAGTCTAATATTTGTGCTGCTGCAGCGCTGCTTTCGTGTACATAATTTGTTGATGTTCGACTTGATGATAGCGGGAAAAGAAAAATTGACTCTAAACGTTGTCCGGATGGTGCCATTCAGGCGTACTCCGAGCGTGATACATGTGATTGCACTTCACCTTTTTGCGGAGGGCGCCGAAAGACGTCTCGATTGCGTTGGGGCGCGGGGGGGGGATCGGAACACACGGCACCAGGGACCAGGGACGATAACCCCTGCTTTCCCCCCTTCAATGAATATGGCCTGCCCGATCAGCAGTACCTATATCCTTGCCTGAACACTCTGAGAGTTACGCTGTCGTAGCGACTCTAGACACATGTGCTCCATTGGTTTACCTGTCTAGGCCCTCTTCCCTTGTCTCTTCGGCTACCATGAACCGTGGCCAGCACCCTAACAAAGCGGACCACGCACGCTACAGGTTCTTCTTCGCCAGGACCTTGTTCGCGTCGAAAGCCCTCGTAATCTCCTTGAATGCCACCCACAGCGCCCACGCCGGAATAAAGACCCACAGCATGTTGAAGAAGACGAGGTACAGCCACAGGTACATCCAGTTGCTCGTGTCGAGGTTGATGTTGCCGGTCAGCCACTCGGGGCAGAACGTCATGAAGCCTGCAGAAACACGCGCCCTGTCAGCCGCGACCTGACGACAAGGGGTCTTGGGTCACACTCACCACCGTAAATCTCCGCCGTGGCAATCACCACAATCCAGAAATTGACCTTGGGTTCGCGCCGCGCAATCAGGTAGCAGATGTAGACGGCCAGCGGGCCGGCGCCGAAGACGGTGAGCAGCTCGAGGCTGATGACGCCCTGTTTGGGAAGTCGCCGTTAGCATTGCACCGACAAAGTGCCCGCGCGCAAAGAAAAGTCCCACCAGATCGGCACCTGCCCAGCGCTTGTCGGCGTTGGCGTAGACCATCCATAGCTGGGCAAAGGGGTTGTCGCCGCCGGCCTGGGCGCCGTAGACGCGGTCGGTGTGGCCGAGGTAGTTGTAGGGCGTCGGGTGGAGGGCTCCAATGTCGGCCACGTCGGCCACAGAGATGTAGGAGAAGAAGCAGTGGTAGAGGAAGCTCCCCTCGAGGAAGAAGTGGATCAGAGCATCGAAGGCGTGCCAGATGAAGAGGACGCGGTACGTCGTCGACGTGGCGGGGTGGAGGACGCGTCGCGAGACGGCGATGGCGACGGCTAGGAGCACAACGGTTGCTGCCAGGGAAATGAGAGTCGTCTGGTCGAAGAGGTCCGGTGGGAGAGAGCTGGCGTACGTCGACATGTTGGGCGGTTGCAGGCGATGGTTTTGCCGCTGTTGTTGAGTATGGTTGGAACCTTGGCCGATGGCTCAGTGCAGGAGCTGGCAGTTTGGCGATGTTACCTCCGGGAGTCCGTGCACAACAATTCCCCGAATAAGTCGATCCACATGTTGCGGTGTTGTAGAACATGGGGATTTTGAGGCTCATGACGCAGAACGAGTTCTTGCATTCACTGCAAATACAAGTCACTGCAAAAACAATTGTGGGAAGTGTATGAATTGCGGGTAAACTATCTAGGATCTTGTCCTCAGACTGTGTGCTCGTGCTCAATCGCTCCCTCATTCCAAAAGTTCCATTACGCCTTCGTGACCATTGCCGCCCTGATGGAGGGTAGGGGTATCATCATCGTGAAGAGGAGTTGCTTAGTGCTTGGCAGACTCCTTGTGGACATCAGCCTGGGTGTTGTGCTTGGTCTCGTCGAACTTGTCACCGACGGCGTCCTTGCCGGCGGAGAGACTGGGAGACTCGTTAGTAAACTGGAGACGTTGAGAATCAGTGAAGAAGAGAGGCGTACCGAGTGCCGAGGCTGGCGTTGTTGTCCTTGGCGACCTCCTTGTTGGCCTCCTTGGAAGCGGTGGCACCGGCGCCCTGAACGGTCTCAGCGACGTAGTTGGCGGCGTTCTTGACAGTCTCCATTGTGAAGGTTGGGTTGGTTGTTTGGGGTTGGTTGGGTTGAGTGTTGCTTGGTTGTAGAGTAGTAGTTGTTGATGGAGAAAGGAAAGATGTCATTGATGGGTGGCAGAGGTGATGGGTTTATATAGAAGATAGGGAGGGGGGTTAGGGACCTCTGGCGAACCCGCCAGAGGCAGGCGCCCGATCTGGTGAGATCGAGCTCTTGCCTAGCACGACCAGGCCCATCACTCTTCGTACCTTCACGTTTGCTGTGGCTGAATCACAGGTGGGGGGGGGGAGGTGGCCCGCTCGTCTGCCTTCCTGGCCGTTTGCCCGACTGGCCTCCTGGGGCCGCTTCCTGTGCTGGGCCGCTTGTCCCATCGAGGCAAGCAAAAAGGCAAGAGGTTTGGAGGGGTACGCCCCAGCAACAGCCACGATCCGATGCTTCGCGCTGTCTCGTTGGCTGGCCGTCGTCGGAAGACCATCATGTGGTCCCATTGGGGCCTGGGAAGCTACGTCATGATAGAGCACGTTTGCGGTTCAGGGGGGAAGTCACTTTTGCGATGGTCAGGGTGCGTATGCTAGGCTGAAGCAGCATCATGGTCCTAACAGCATGGACTTGCTGGGACCTTGTCGTTTCCCCTTCGGCACCATTATCGCCTTAGGGCCGGGGTAGCTCTGCCTGTGGCGGGGCCAAACGTTGCAGGGAGGCAGTCTTCGCCAAACCTGACGTCATTCATAGCCCGTGGTGGGGCACGCGGTGGTGCAGACGCTGAACACTGGAGCTGCTCGTGCTTGTGCACTTGCTCTTCTCACCCGGTGCTGATGCTGATGCTGCTCGTCGAACACATACCACACAACGCGCTGCGCACACATCAGGCAAAGCGCCGTGCCCACGTCATTTCCACGAACCGCGTACCCCTCACCACCCGGATAGCGGGGTCATCCCATGCCATGCCATGCCACTGGTCTCGAGACGTGTCTCTCCAACGCGCAGCTGAGGTGTGGACTCTGTTCCGGATTGCACATGTCAAGAAGGCCACGGAATGTACATGGCAAACGTCAGCCATGTGTGATCTACGCCCGTAAGGCCATACCGATATCGTTTTCGTCGCGCCACGTTACGTAGGTCAATATGATGCATGATGCTGCTACCTTACCTTGATCGCCCACCGGTACAAACCATCCGCAACAGTGCGTGATTGTTGATGGGGAATACGGCATGGAATTTCAGCACAAAGTCCATGTCTTCCCCCCCTAGCATGATCAGCGCAGCGCCCCACAACTCAATGCCAGGCACGAAGGACAGCAGAGTAAAGGAGGAACTGGGGGGCGTCAGAAAATCTCCCATGTCCAGTACGTGGCTGTGCGATACCTCGGAGCCTCATGCCCACTACCGTCAGAGGCTCAGTCGAAGCCTGTTGTAGCTCTTTTCTGCCTCCTCCCTCCCGTTCTCTCGCGGAGTCTCCACACATCGGAAACCCCCCCCCCCCCCCCCCTCTCCCCCCAAACACAGAACCAAAACAAGAAGCGTTGTAGCTCATTGGCAGTTTGTGCAGCGTCCAAACAACAAGCTCGAAGGCGTATGACGTCACCATCTTCCACTGCATGTTCTGGACCTGGCGGCCCCGTAGACACACGGTCCTGCTTCCCACAGCATACGGAATGGGCAAGCTCAAGGTGCACTTTCCCCCCATTCAGGTAGGCAGCAGCCCCCCCCCCAGCCAGCCAAACAGGCAAGCAGGAGGGCACTTGCCAGAAACCCCCCTCGGGCGCCGCCTGCACTCTGGGTCGACCCACGAATGAGGGGCCGGCAGCTGATCCCAAGAATCGCGACCATGCCCCATTTCCCCCTTGCCACATATTCTGCACCTGTCATCGAGATCGCAAAATCTTATCCCATCGCCCATCGTCCATCCATCACATCACCCATCACATCACACATCGCCCCTCTTTGGCCCTGTGGATCGATCACGCCTACTGGCCGGGGGGAGGGGGGGGCACCGTCTCTCGCGGGGCTTTTGCTCCGGATCCTCGCCTCCATCCCACTCCCACGAACAACCTTGCTAGATGGACAATGGCCTTTTCTTCGATGCACCGATCACGTACTTCTCCCTTGTCCATCGCCCCCCGAGGTCCGTTGACCACTGAGAAATGTGTCCTATCACGGCAAACCGGCCAGAACCGGGCGGACTTTGCCCATCATCGGGCTGCTTCGCCCATCCCGTCACGGCCCAGATAGATCTTGGTGCTTCTTCCCTCTGGTTACCCCACGGCACACGGACATGTCTTGTCGGACCCCTCCAACATCCCGCGTGCCTTTACGTCATGCCTACTGCCCTTCGTCGGTCTCGAACATGTTCCCACGTTGGATGGAGCCTAGGTGTGCTCTGTCTCGTCGCGGCACGCTCTTGGGACGTGTGGCGTGAGGATGAGGCCAGGTGTTGCTGGCGTTGAACCTCGGCGAGCCGAAAGCCACATTTCCTCTCATGCCGCTGTTACCCAGAGCTACGAAGCCAGCCTACAGCCCCAACAAGTAAAGGGGGGACATACTTACTGCCGCAGTCACCTATCGGGACGCTTCGTCGCTCATGCGCTCAGTCCCAAAGGGCAAGACTGCATGGTGCACGTGGTTACACACAGGATCGAGCACCAAGCCGTGGATCGAGTGAGGCACTCGGGGCCGGGCCGCGGGGGCGAAACTCAAGTAGCCGCCGAGACCATCGAGACCTTCTTGTGGGGTGGTGAGTCTCGCCCTCTGCCAGAGACGACCCTTTTCCCCCAGCCTCCAGCCGTCCAAGCCTTGGACGGCCTGCCAGCGCGACATTGGGGAAAATGAATGGTCTTCTCTCCACCCAACTGCTTACCTCCCTCGTGCTTTCGGGACGCCCCGAAAAGACTTGCTTGTAGGTGCCTCGCCTATGGTCTTTGGTACGTACTGTGGTGGAACGTGTCTCGCCGACTGGTCAATCGCTTTGGCCTCTGAAAACAGTGTTTCGTATGCCTCATGGCGCCTTGACAGGCCGCGTATGCTTTCCTTCGCATCACGACGAGAGAAGTGGTCTTACTAGGTCAGTATGGCGGCTTTCATGTTCGAACCAATCTCAAGACCATCTGCTGTTGAGATCGAACCACCCGGACGATGACTTCCTGTACTTGTACACCTTGCCTTCTTCAATGCTGCTCTCCCACCCAAGTCGGGCAAAGTGAAGAACTATAGACGCCCGAAGCTTTCTGCAGAAGCCGTTTCTGGGCTGCTTGCCAACATGTCTTTCCAAGGTCTGCCTGGCCGCTGAAGACGCTTGGATCGGTCAGTCGTCAGGCTCTCGGCCAAGTCGCATCCGTCGGAAGAACGGCAAGCTGCGCAGGCCTAAGTACGCCCCTGCCAGACTCGCGATGCTCCTGAGAGGGGAACTCTGTGACGAGGCTGCTCAAACCCTGCCTTCCCAGGGCGGGAATCGGCATGTTGAGTCTGCTACCCTCCGCTGAATCATGTCGAAGTGCCGACAAGAGTATCAACAGACTCCGCACAAAGGCTTCAGTGCTCGATCGTATTGAACGATTCTTCCTCATCAGGATGTAGAGGGTCTGATGAGCTTCCCAAACAGCTGGGTCTGCCGGCTTGGCTCGATCCAAGGCGGCCGCCCCAAGTCGATGACAGGAGCTTGGTCTGCTTGGCTTCCCCAGACAGCCGGGTAAGGGTATTGCTCGGATGCTCCAGATACAGGGCGAACAGGTGACCGGCAAGGCGGCACAAGATGGGGCAGAGGTCGGACCTCAGGCGTTGCAGCCTTGTCGCCAAGTCTGAAACGTCCAGAGGGAGTCTGTGGGTTTGGAGGCTATCAGACGGATCGAGGGTTTGCTGGTGTGAGTGTTTCAGGTGCCAAGCCCGCGACTCGTGAGAGGCCCTTGGAGGCGTTGGTGCACACCTCTCGTCGGACTCCTAGAGGTCGACTCGGCTCTGTGTGCCGTGTCCTGCCCGATCCATGGCCTAGAAGGGGCATCTGGATCGTGGAGGCTCCTTGCGAGGTTAGGGAGAGACGGGTGTAAGGGGGAAAGGATGGTAGAGAGAGGGTGGAAGATGCGCGATTGAGTGCTCCGTCCTCTTCAACCGTGGTGCATCCACCAATGCTGCGAATGGCTTCTTTTCGAGTCCTCTTCTCTCCCAGACCCAGCCTTACCAGCACTCAACAGTCTGATCCCGATGGCTGGGAAAGGTAAGCAAGAGATTGAGCTGGTGTTATCGGGCTGAAGATGGAGTGAGTACGGAGGTGGCGGAGCAGTACCCCGCGGGGAAATTCGAGAGCAAGAGGACGAGCGACAGTGACAGCTCTTGGCTGCCCGATTAGCAAGTCTTGGCGGCCTTGGCATTAACCACGACACACAGTCTAAGGCTCCGTCTCTTTTCCTTCACGTTCACTGCGACACTGGGGCTGTTGCGGCGCAACATGTCCGTCGCAACCACATATACAGATTACAAACTGACATGGTCATTCTGCAGCCTGCTTGTATGGCAACAGTCTGAGCAACGTCTCGAATAGCCTCAGACCCACCAACCTGGCAGCGACGTGACGGCGAGTTTTCAAGAAGCGCAGACCGCCCTCTGTGTCGCGAGGCGTCCATCACGTGGCCCCCGCCCCCAGAAGCAGTAATATGCCCTGGCATTAAGATCGGGGGAAAGGGACGTTTGTTTCTTCGTCATCGGCATGAATGCCTCTGCTATTTTTACTCACGGGGGCCTCAGCTTGGGGGGGGGCGACGGTGGAGGGTCCCATCAAGCTTATTGATGGCCCGCCTAGGCCGGTCCCGAGAGCCTCTACAGTGCTGTGAATGGTGAAATTGTGTCCCTATCGGTCATGTTCGGGTGTCATTTCAGTTTCAAGCTTAATTCTTAGCTGAACAGTCCAGGCAGGAGCCATGTCAGGGTCGAATGCTTGAACGGGGTTGAGAAGCTGCCCGGTGCTCATCATCGTCGCAACGACTGGCCTCATGCTGCCAGGAAAAGAACAGACGAAAGATCTTTTCTTGGCAATGTCTCGACTCGGCCTCATCTCTGTGCCCTGTCGAGTTGTAGTGTTGATCACCCTCGCGTCGTCCTGCGCGCTTGATCCGTCACGAGAGAACCCATAAGAAGCCGTGGAGATCTCCCCTTTCCTCCCTTTTTTTGTTGGCTTTCATCATCGCATCCTCATCTTTTAATCTCTCGCACCGTCGCTTCCCTCAAAGTTTGACATCTCGACTCCTGGCGAGCGGACACTTCCTTTCTCTATCACAACGCCGGACGTCTTTTCCAGCTACCCCTAATACGTTTCTTCCCCCGTCATTCTTTGCCATCCCATCACACATTTGAGTCCGAAATACGCTGTACTTCGTGAAGAATACAAGCACCGCCGCCATGCTGCACAGCTACCACTACTACATCCTGGCCGCCGCCGGCCTCGTCGGCAACATCAACGCCCTGCCCCTGAACATCAACCTCGGCGCCTACTCCCCCGCCCTGGTGGTCGGTGACGGCGAGATCTCCTTTGGCGGTAAGAGCGACGTCAACAGCCTGATGAACGTCCTCGAGGGCGCCGCCGTCAACGCCGCCGCAGGTGTGGCCAACGGACAGCAACCCCCGCCCGCCCAAGCCGCGGCCGTCCAGCAGGCGAGCGACAAGCCCCAGCCCGTCATCATCAACCCGGCGCCCGCGGCCAAGGGCCAGCCCCTGACCTCGGACCAGCAGGAGGTACGTTCCCCCACAGGGTTCACCGCTCTCGTCATGCAAAAACGCCAACGGGAAGAGGAACGCTAACCAAGTCAGGCCCAGCAGATTGCGTCCTTCCTCGGCATCGACGGCAAGCAGATCGACCCCGCGCCGGGCCCGCCGCCACGGGTAAGATAGACGGCACGACGGCGAAGCGCGACCTCTCGGGCTTCGACCGCGCCCTGCGCTACGCCGAGGCCGCCCTCGTCAAGGGCCCCAAGGTCCAGCTCGGTACCGGCGCCGAGGGCTCCGGCGTCGGCATCATTGTCGACAACAACCAGCAGGCCGCCGCGCGGCCCGGTCGCGGCACCGAGGAGGGCGCTGCTACTGGCGGCGGCGGCGCGGCTGAGGGGGTCGTTGTCGCGCCGGCTTCGCTGAAGGAGAAGAGGGGTGTTGAGGCGCGGCAGCAGCAGCAGCCGAGGCGGAGGGCCAAGGTTACGACCATGTATGTTCGGTCTGGGATCCCGGCTGGTAAGTGATGTGCGGTTCTCTCCCTGGGTGGCGTTATGGAGGGGTGGGCAGGAGCGCAGAATTGAATTCAAATATCTGATTATTGTGGTCTAAAGGTCTCTCGTCTTCTTCGCCGGAGGTCGTGGCGCGCAGCATTGCTGCTGACATTGCGGGGAATGTCGTTGGCGGTGCGACGGTCAAGCGGGAGGTCGCAGCGCGGGATGGCGCCTTTGATTCTGTCAACTTGAATGTTCCTGGAGAGGGTGTCACTATGACTTTTGTCGAGACAGCGGATGAGGAGGCCGAGGAGCCACTTGATGGGGAGGCGTAGGTGGTCGCAGGAGAAGCTCTGTAATCCTTCAAACATCGTGATCGTGACGATTCAATCATGTCTCTAGAATTGATGGCTGTGTCGTGTCCTCGGTGTGAAATCGCCAGCGTGTGTACAGGCGTCCAATACCAAGGTCGCAGTGAACCGCTCTGACGCGGCGCGATGATTTCCTATCAAAGCGTTGAGAAGAGCCAAGTGACCAATTTAGGGGCATCCGGGGCATTAGGCAAATATAAAACACATGAAAAGATCCATCCCGCTGTTCCAGAAAGTAATAGTGAATTGAACAAGGTCGTGTTTGTGTTTTATCTGAGCCAGAAATTAATTTTACGCCGGGAATCAAAAACCGCCGACCAGCCTTGAGTCGAGCGAAGTGTCCTGGTCCCTTGCTCATTCATCGTGTTTTCCCGAATCTGCCCAGGCAAGCATCTTAACCACCCAGGCGAGATGTCCTTTAGCGTCCCACTGTCCTGAGAGCTCGCCACCCACGTCAAGCGCCGACCTCAGGTATCGTAACCGCCCTAAAGGGGTCTCTCCAGCCTTATTCCTTGCATGCAAATTTGCGCCCCCAGACAGCAATGCTTGCCCGGCATATAAATTCGGATATGAACAATCTCCAAACAATACGTCTGAACGATCTCCAGACAATACGCTCATGAGTGGAGTGTTGTCCTGGTCATCCAATGCTTCTATATCGGCACCATATTTGAGGAGCAAATCTACGACCTCGGACGTCGCAGGAGCATATTGGCGAAGGAAGTGAAAAGCGCTTCGGCCATCGTGTGCTTTGACTTCGACAGAGGCGCCATTCTTGAGTAAAAGCTCCACTTTCCTCGCTTGTGGTGCGCTGCTCAGCAGAAAGTGGAGGGCAGTCATACCGTTCACATCCACCAGGTTAATGTCAACTCCGAATTGTAACAACACGGTCGTCATCACAGACAATTTATCTTCGTTATAGCCATATAAACTTTGGCAGACATGATGAAGTGCTGACTGTCCGAATCGGTCTATATTGCTGGCGATGGGCTTGTTTTCGAGAAGAAACATAAAGGTCCAGAAAGAACCGAAACGACAGGCCAAGTGCAGCGTCGAACGACCTTCCTCGTCGACTGCCGGGACAGATGCCCCTCGGTCGACAAGGGCCTTGACCAGACTTTCTTTATAAGCTGTCGTGAACGCCTGTGATTCGCGGAGTGTTTCGAGCCCTTCTGGAGAGCCACGTTCTATTGCCAGTGCCAGTTGGACTACCCGCTCGTCAAGCTTTGGCAGATCGGGCTTCAGCGCCCTGGCTATGAGACGTAGAAGGCTCGACCAATCGGGCTTCCATTGGGACGCTTGCGATACGGTCAACAACAAGCGAACAGCCTCTTCGTACTCTTCCACATCTTGTTCATCCCGGAAATCTAATGGCACCAACGCATCCAATACGATTTTGCCATGCTGGTCCTGAATGGTATAGTCAAAGCCATGCTGTAGCAATAGAGTGACTGCCCAATAACGACCGTGTTCCGCGGCGAACAACAACAAGGGTGTTCCGTCTGGGGCAAGTGCGCCAAGTTGCGACTGCCGCCAAGTCGCGAGTATGTATTCCAAGCATTTGTAGCGCTCACAAGCTACCGCGAAGAAAATGGGCCGATGAGCCAAACATGGAAGCCGCGTCGGGTGGGGTTGGTATTGCACTGACCGAGGCCTGTGTGAGGCCTGCTTTCCGTTTTCTCTTCGCAGAGCCAGGTCATCTGAACCCTCATATGGCAGCATTGATGTTGAGGTACATGTCGCTTCCAAGATATCGTGTGCGGCGCCGAAGTGACCCAAAGCGGCTCGTAAACCTGTCGGCGTCAAGCCCTCGATACATCGATGTTCATCCCAGTTGACAAGCTGAACCATTTGGCAATCCTGTGCCAGTGACCAAGACTTGTTTACACAGTCCCAAGCAGCAAAAATACTCCAAGGTGAGGACAAAGGGTTGTCCTGACCAAAAAGAGAGAGATAAGAACTTCGAAAGACATCGGAAATATCCTTGATACCATCGTGTAAAACGATCTGCGCATGATCGAAGTGATGAGTCCAGAAAGAGACAGCATAGTCACAGAACTTGATTGGTACAGACTGTACTTCGTGCCACCTATAGAAGTCTTCGAAACCTTCATTCTCCATGAATGCTAGCGCGATCAGTTCATTGCGAAACTGGACGCTCCGGAAATCATCCATAGACAAGTAGGCAATGCAACTTTCGGCCATAACACGGTGAGCTGCAGTCGTTGTAATGCAGCGATGCCATGACGAAGTCGGGCAATCTGATTCCCGAATCACATCTGGCTCCTCCTCCCCTTCGGCCAAGAGGAACTCCTTCGCAGTCTGATGAATGAAAAAGAGTTGATTGTCGTAAATGGTCACGAACAGACCGCAAGCTTGCCTGATCCAGGCGGGAAAGCAGCGGTTAAGGTCCAGATCCTTTTCTGAAAGAGCGCCCAGCTCACCTTGGACGTTTTCCCAGGCACAAAGCGCAATGTCCATCTCCTCGAGCGTGAGGGGTCTTTGTGCTGCAATGATAAGATGGAATAGCCTGCCCACTTTCTCGGCGTCATCGTGGCTGACCTGCCGGTGTAACCTTTCATATGCGCCGTATACGGTTTTGGGGAGATTGCTAACAAGGTCCCTCCAACCTTTCTGGGTGTTGTCGTTATTCTTCTCGAGACTCTCAAACACCAAACTGGCCCAGAGATACGTTCGGTCCTCCCCACCCTTGAGCGCGAAGCCATCTTTGAGGATTTTCCTCTTCGCGTCATCTAGTCGCTTCTTCTCGGCAAGTTGAGACAAGCGATGCTCCACAACCAGTTGGATCTCCTTTTGGATCAAATCCTTTTCTGTTTTCCCGTCACCATCGAGGTGAATGTGTCCCTGCCCGGAAACATCAAGATGGTTGAGAATAGGCGGGAGGCCCCGAGTCGTAACTAAGAACTTGACAGTCCCCTGTCCAAGTTCCCCAGCCGTTCGAAGAGAATAGCTCGTTACAAGACTGATAAGCTGATGAGTTTCGGCAGAATCACACTCGTCGAGGGCATCCAAGATACAGACTACCGGAGGACAGGATGAATGACTGAGAGCCTTTTCCAGAACGTCCCATAACGATGCCAAATGTGACGTGAGATTACTCCCTGCCTGGTTGATCAAGGACTCGCAATGATCCGCTAGCAGCGGTTCTCGGACGAAAAGGCAGTGCAGCAGAGAGCAGATTGCGCTAGCTGCGCTGCGCTGCTCGGGTGTATCCTTGAAGAAGAAATAGCATATGCGTGCTTGGGCCGTCCGGTCGGATGCTGGGAGGTACTCTTCAATCAGGTATCTTGAGAGTACCGACTTGCCGCAACCGGGGTCTGCGGAAACAACAAGCAGTCCCCCCGAGTTTTCCAGCCAGGCCAAGAACTGGGGATGATTACAGAACCACTCGCAGGTATTGGCGACGCGAAGGGGATTGATCCGCATGCGTTCTTCGTATGGAATCGTCTTGAACCTTCCAATCAAGAGATCGCGTCTCCTTGTCCGCTCTTCAGCGTCACGCTGGGTTTGTTGGTCTTGCCGGGCTTGCTGGATGCTCGACAACTGCTGAACTCCGCTGGCTATCTCTTGCAGAAGCCCAGACGATTCAGATGCCTCGTGAAGAAGGCTTCGAAGGGCTGCGACGGATTCGCGACTGGAATAGTGCGCCATGTCGCCATCCAGCCGTTCTTCTAGCTTGGCTAGCTTGCTGCGCTGGGTGGTCCAGTCGTAGGAACCCCATACGACCTTCGCATACGCAAATACCCGATGGTCCTTGTAGCAGTACAGTACAGCTGTCATCTCGTACGTGAGAATCGCACGATATATCGTCCTGACCTGGCTTTCGAGCGAACTATTGAGTTGCGCAAGCCTTTGGCGCCCTTGCCCGACGTCTTCGAAGATGATTCTCGACAGACCAACATACCAGTCCATCCTAGCGATGACATGTTCCAGACCATCGACCATCGACTGCTCGGCTTCGAAAGGACCAGATAGGATCTTTTTAAGTCGCACGTCAGCAGCCATTCAGGGCGGCCCTTCCAGAGATCGGCGCAACGACACTGAATACACTCACCTGAACCGCTGCACAGATGCCAGACCAGGCCATTGTTGCCGGAGGAGGCGCCGGCGTCAATGCGAGTTTTCCCACTTTCTCAAGCTTGGCCAGAAGAGCAGAGGCCTGCATGACACCTCCTCTGATGCTGCGGCGCTCATGGATCTTCTCGAGAGACTTTTGGACCGATATAGCCATCCTCTGAATGCGTGCTTCTGCGGCGCCATTGGCAAAGATGTTCGCCGCGGCTGCTGTTAGGGCACCAACGCCATCTGTACACAGACTCAGGCCCTCCGTCTTTCTCCAGAGTTCATGTGGCAATTAAGTGGAGCACCAACCATTAATGTTCAGTGTGAGGATTCTCTCGTACGCCTCAGTGAGCTGCTCGTTATCCTGCCTTATCTCTTGATATGCCGAGTTCCATAGTCGAAGCGCTGCGCCTTCTTCAGAGGTTGCTGACAGCGACATGCAAGTGGAGGAGTCACCGGGCACCGGCTCGGGGGGGGGGAGACATCGGCTCGGGGACCTCGGGCCTCAGCCGGAGCTGGCCGCCGAACTTTGAGCGTAAATTTCTGTTTGAGTTTTTCCAAAGACATCGTGACGCGAGGCACAACGTGATGATGATTTACCCTGAAGGGGGTTGGAATGCAAACAGACGGGATGCCGTAAGGCTGCGAGCAAGACCACGACCCCGCGCTCGAAGAGAAGAAAATGAGGCGCACCACAATGCTTCGACGGGCTGCCTCCCACGACCAACGAACCAATAGTATCCGATTAGAATCTGCGGACTTGATCCTGCGCCATTGCACGGCACTCGTTGGGGTTCCAGCGTTCACAGTCGAGAGAGAGAAAAAGAGAGCGAGAGCTTGGCGATAGCACGTGAGCCTCGATTGTTGTATGGTGGTTTTGGACCAAAGTCTCTAACAGTTGAGAATGCATCAATTGGGTACAAGCTCCTCCTACTTGGATTATATCACTTAAAACGACCAGCTAGACACAATTGATTAACCAACACTGGTTCTCCCACATGTCCCTAACATTTGACGCTGGTTGCTTTCCTCGAGCAAGGTATCAATCACGAGTTACCGAAGACTCCGATCTGAACAGGCGAGAGCAAACATCCAGCCAGGAGGCAGCTTGCCATTGAATGTCTCTTTAAAAAGTGAAATGGGATCACGGCGTTCTGCATTTGATCACCTCGATTGTCGCCACCGGACATTCGCTAGACCAACTTGACAGCCACAGCCGCCCTCAATTACATGACGTTGATGATGGCATGAGAGTATAACGCGGTCCGATGCCAATGATTCAAATGGAGGGGGTAAATTTTGGTTGGCTAGTATTTGAGCTGGGCTCATAAGGAACCTCTTACCTACAGATTTGAGATGCGTTGAGCGACGCCCGCAAGCCCCTTTCAAGTAAGGTCGGGGAGACCCTGTGCTACTTTGGAAGCGGCGTGTCCGTGGCGGCCACTCAGCATTGTGCAGGCAAGGGGATATGCAGAGGCGCGGCTTCTGAGGTGCACGTCAGAGTCGATATGCATCCCTTCAAAGGCCCGCCAGGCCGGTTGTCACGAGGAAGCCATACTTGCGAGTTGACTAACACTGTCGGCACAGCCAGCCGGGGATGGAACCCGCTCGGCAGTTTTGTCTCAGTAAGATCATAGCCCCCCCCCCCTAACGTTGCAGTGCATAGGCAAGCCATATGACATGGGCCAGCGCGCTTGGTATGCAAAGCCTGTGGGCGCTGTTTCGTCTTGCATAGGATCGAGCTGCAGAGTTCGAGTAGTGCTGACAACCCCCGGTGGATGCGGAGGACAGGACTGTCCAGCACCGAGAAGACGTTCGTGGCAAAGACTCGACTTTGTCTCGCCGTCTTGGAAGATTCATGATCCTGAGGATGAGAACCTACTTGAAAAAACTTACTGGCACACCTTGCCGGGCATACGATGTGATAGCGCTGGTGGCAGTGTCACATCATAATTGGCCGGAACGCATCATGCTCGAGGCGTCGAGGCGCAGAAGCTGGAAGTGTTCCAGAAGACATACTTTCCTGCACGAGAGGGGACCAGTGATTGCCTTTACTCCTGTAGTTGAAGACACCGAGGCCACTTGCCAGCAGCCAGTCAAAGCCCGTGATCGATCATCCCACGTCGACTGGGCGGGGCGGTGTCCATCGATGATGGCTTCTCGGGTGGTTGGGGGTGGCTCAATGCGTGGGCAGGTCGCGACGAGTTCGGAGTAGCGGTGTGCGAGGGATGGTCGAGCAGGCGCTCAAGAAACGACTGCATGGGAGGTGGTGGTGGTCGATTGGTGGCAGAGGAGAGTGGGATATGAAGATGGCGTTTAAGGGTGGTGATGATGCTCGGTATAGGGCTGAAACGGGCTGAAAAGGGGGGTGAGCCGGGGGTCAGGGACCAGGGTTGTCTTCGGCGTAGCCCGAGTCGCGTCCAAAGAACTGGAAACCCCGCAGACGTTGACGGAGGACGGACCGATGAGTAGCGAGTTGGGAAGAGGCGCCGTAAGCCGCTGGATTCAAGGTTTGTTCATGACGAAGGATCCGACAAGTGGGAGCAGTCTCCTGGGGTTGACGGTGGGGTGGGCCTTTCGTGCGAATGAAGCGGTGCGGGCAACATTCATGGTGCGCACGAATGACGATGCTTGTGACGTGGTGTTGCTGGCGACATGTCGACGTTTGGCGCCTCGGCTGGAGGTCTCTTGGGTCAGCTGAGGTCACTGACTGTCTTGAGGCGCATCGTCACGGAGGCCGCCGGCATGTCGAAGTTGTCCATCTGTATGCCGACCTACTGTGCCGACCTAGCGAGCTAGGCCTTTCGCGGCCGCCAGCCCTACGATGCAGGACGAGAGAGGTGGGAGGGGAGGGGATTGGAAGGGGAGGCGGAGAGTTGGGTGGAGGAGAGAGTGGGTGAGTGGACGAGGGCAGGGGAACACGACACATGAATTGCTGTTGCAGATGAGATCGGAGCAAGGAGCAACCCCGTAGGGATGGCACGACGCGACAAGAAACAGCAAGGGCAGGAACATCCGTCTTGGGCAAACCAGGCAAGAAGACCCTCGACAGCAATCCGGATCGGCCCGGGCGTCGTCGCTGTTGGATCAAAATCGTACTGGACCAATCGCCCTCAGAGCTTCTGAGAGGGCGGGAGGCCACAGTGGCTGAGTTGGCGGCTTGGTGGTGACTCGTTGCGAGGCGTGCCGTGCACTGGACCGAGCGCGGTGCTCGAATTCCTTCCTTCCATCCTTCCCGCCGTTGGTCTGCACCTCACCTTCCATGTCACGCACCCGCCTCCTTCGTGGTTGCTCGTCAGGGGTGGAGGGGAGGGGCGCGTTCTTGGCTGACCCTGCTTGCCCTTGCCAGACCTTGCAAGGTCTGCTTGCTCTGCCACGAGAGGCGGCAACTGCGCGACGCAGCATCATGACTGCATACAGAGAAAGACATATGCGCCTATAATCTCGACTGACACATCATCGCATCGACAACACAAAGTGCCATGGCCCCCCGGTGACCTCATGCCCCCTCTGTTCGTGGCATTCGTACATCTGCTGTCCCCTCCCCTCAAGCGCTGTAGCTCGGGCCTAGCAGCGACCGATGTTAGCGCTGCGCAGCCGTCCATCATGGCCCGACAGAGTAACCTCATCCGCCCTCGACGCCGGGCGCTAGCACCACATCTTAACCCCATGACGTTAGTGCGACGCTGGCATCAAAAATGGACGCAAACAACGGCATTTCCTCATCAGTCGGGGAAGCGAGCTTGACACGTCCGCTGACAACGGAGGCGATGACTGATCACCCACACCTCTCAGCCTCTTTTGACTCGACTGAAACCTAGACGCAGACGAGGGCTTCCCATTTACGGACCTCAGCATATGGACTGAGTATGGACCACGGACAACGCTGCTTTCCGCCTCGAACGCCAGGTCCAAGGGCCCCGCGGCATTGACCATGTGTTTCCGCGGTCAATGCTCATTACGCTCCGTACCTAGCTACCTACGTAGCGAGCTTGTGGCTTGGAAGCGCGAGTGAGTGACAAGTACACTAGACCTGCCGAGGAACAAATTCTGGTCATCGTGGACCGAAGGTAGGAAAAAAAAAATTGCCGAGGACCCTTCTCCGAGGACCCTTCTGGCCCATACTCATCTCGTGGCATCGTCTCGACGCCGGGGACCTCCATCTCGCCAACAGTTGCCTCTGACCTCCACCCCCACCCCCATGGCCCGACCTGGCCACGGCGGAGCGAAGGGCAGACAGTATTATCGGCGACACGACACGTCTACTATTGAATCAGCATTACACCCAAAGACGAGAAAGCTCGCGCAATGAGGCTTTCCGCCAGGCCACCCGTCCGTTACACACGCAATAATGAGCAAAACCCTCCGAATGACAGAGACATTTATCGTCAGCATCTGGAAAAGACAAATATGCGAGCCAGAGCTACAAGTCGCACCGCGTACCACATCCCATTGAGGTACCACGGCTCGTGAGACCCAACTGTGGCCCATTTGTTTGCTGCCCCCCCCCCCTCTCTTCCCCTCTCCATCTCTTCTGTCGCATTTGGCCGTCTCCTCTCCCCTCTTCATCCGCTTGACCTAATCTTTCCTTGGGCGGAGAAGATCAGGTATTCTTATCCGAATTCAGGTACTGTTGATGGTACCCTACCTTTGGCAGGTAAGGTCGGTATCGCAGGACCACAACCACCCCCCTTAGTCCGGCTCGCTTCATATGATCAAGTGAGACCCCCGCACGGCACGTTCATTCCCTTATCAGCCCATGCGCATACCTTCCTACCTTTGCTTCTTAGATCCAGCTCGTGGAAGAGACGCCCCCTACTCCTATTAGCTTGTCAGTTGGCGTTCACGAACACGTCTCTACCATAGCTTAGTCCCCTTTGAAGCTTCCAAGCCACCCCTCATCCCAGCTTCTGGCTGGCCCTCTAGCCCTCTGGCCCGGCCCCTGCCCCCGGTCTCTGTTTCTCCACATTGGCGCTACTTGGCTTCGCGGATCTACCCCCCCCTTCCTCACCTTCTCACTAAATAGCAAGGTCGGTAGGTACCGCGAGTACTGCCCTTGCCTAGGTACTTGCTGTACCTTCCGTACCTAGGTACCTACTCTTCTTGCCCACCAATGCTTGTGCAACCCTGGGACCCCTGCACCACCCGTCACCCACAGACCCGTCACTTTCACTGGCGCCTTCCAGGCCTTATTTGGTTCAGTGCCTGTCCACTTTCTCCCGTCGCCGCCCCCAACGTCCATCTCTCCCACCACTGCTGTCCGCGTTTCCCCTCCGAAATCTCACACCACGGTCTGTGTCTTATCGACTGGCTACATCAGCCTCTGAGTTTGACCATAGCCTCGCGTGGGCTGAGCAATACTAGGAGAAGAGAGAAGAACACCACGATATCACTGCTTCGATCTGGATAGTCCAACATACGTCTTGTCACTGCTATACCGCTACCTCGGCCCTTCCCTGCTCATCTCTCAAGCGACATCCTCGAACACGGTGCGATCATTGCCACTGACTAGCTGGCCCTATCGGCTCTGTGCTTGCTGGGGATCTCCAACTGTGGATTCGGGCCTGCGCCAGAAACACCAAAGTTCCTTGGACCTCGCTCGGGACCTTGATCGAATCGACATTCATCGTCAAGCGATTCTCCATCCACGTGTGAATCCGTATGAAATTTCTCTTGGCAACGACACCCCTCAGCCATACACCCACAGGCAATGCCCTCGCCCAAGGATTCCCAACGTTCCCGACCTGACTCGACACCGTGACAATGCTTCCCGTCTCCAACCTCCCGCAGCAGACTGCCCCCGCCGCCGGGCCATCCCTCAGCCCTGAATCTGACGGTCCACAAAAGCCAAAGAGAGCGAGGACAAGCAAGCCCAAGGTCAAAACCGGATGCCACAATTGCAAGTACGTATCTCTGTCGTCGCTCTCTACCCCATGCCGCCGCCGCCGCCGCCGCCGTGCTAACCAGTCGCGCTCAGACATCGCAGAATCAAGTGCGACGAGAAGCGCCCTGCCTGTACTCAATGCGTTCGTTCTCGCAAAGAATGCGCCGGCTATCCGGCTCCTCCAAGAAGCGCCAGGTCTCATGAAGTCCTCGCGATTGCACCAAAACCCCTCGCTGCCGCGCCCACGCCGATAGCCTCGGCGCAACATGGCACCGATATTGCCCCACGAAGAAGGCAGAAGATCCGGGAACGCGAGCGGCAGCACCTGACACCACCACAGACGCCATTGCCATCTATCAATGCCATCGCCCCCATCTCCATCTATCGTCCATCGGCCAATCTCCCCCTGGCCACGCACGAGGGACTGTACTTCCAGCTCTTCCGAACACACACCGCCAATGAGTTATCGGGGTACTTTGATTCCGTCTTTTGGACGCGAACGGTCTTGCAAGAGTGTCATTCCGACAATGCCATCCGCCACGCTGTCGTAGCCCTCGGCGCTCTCTACAAGACTCTGGAGCAGACATCCGAATCGCCACCAGGTTCACCCTCGAATAACGACAACCTCAGTGCCTTTGATAGTGCCATGCGACACTGGGAGGTTGCCATACGGCAGTACTCGGAAGCTATCAATGCGCTCGTTCACATGGACAACCAGGATCAGAGGTCGAACCGAGGACGTCTCATGGCCAGCGTTCTCCTCGCTTGTTTTGATTCCTTTGTTGGTGACCACAAGCAAGCCATCGTGCAAATCCAGAACGGTCTGGGCTTGCTGGAGAAGCTCCGGGCAGAGCGACGCCAGTCCTTTTACGTTGGATCCGAAGAACCTGTGGAACAAGAGCTCATCACCATGTTTACGCGACTCGCGATTCAAGCCAAGTCTTACGACATGGCATTCCACTTCCCGCAGCCGTACGTCATTCGCCTGACCCCGCAGTCATCGGACTCGTCATCGTCGCCGCCGTCTGATGCGGGAAGCTCGCCATCGTCCCTGAACCCTTCGGATATCCCTGATCGCTTTTTTACCCTGATGGAAGCACGGCTGACATACGACAAGCTTCTCGAGAAGATGTTGCGGTTCACAGAGACGCTGTTCAGCTACTCGCAAGCCAGCGGAGCCAACAATCCAATGGGTATCCTTCCGAAATCTCTCCAGCAGTATGGCCTGAGCTTCAAGGGTCAGCTGGACGCTTGGGCCGTGGCGTTTGATCCCATCCTGCAGTCTCGCACGGCGCCGAGCGTCACACATCAGGAAAAGGCCGGCATTGCGGTGCTCAAAATGTTCCACATTATGAGCCAGATTCTGTACCTCATGACGTTCAGCGACAATGAGTCGCAATTCGACATGTTTCAGGCGCAGTTCAAGACGATAGTCGACCTCGCGTTGGAGGTGGTAGGTGATGAGGAACGGCGAGCGGCAGCTAAGCGATGCCCCAACCCGGAGCTATGCCAGCATCGGCAAGCGTACAGGCCGGACATTTTCGGAGGACGCGAGTACACCACGCACCACATCAAACCGAGCTTTAGCGCCGACCTGGGTATTGTGCCACCTCTATTTGTGGTGGCGACCAAGTGCAGGAACGCTGTGATACGACGCCAGGCCATCCAATTGTTGCGCAGCAGCGCGCGGCGAGAGGGCATGTGGGACAGCGAGCTGACGGCACGGATCGGGCACTGGGTCACGGCGATTGAGGAAGAGCCGGACGTGTTGGCTTCAGCGAACGGTTGGGGCATGCCACAGCCAAGCGTGCCCACCCGGCACGGATCGCTCGAATTTGGGGCCGACGTGCCGCTAGGCCCCGGTGGCAACGCGCGATGGGACACGCCCCAAAACCACAGGCATAACAGCAGCCCCGGTCTCAGCAGGGCGACGCCAGGTCCGGTGCCTGAGGACAAGCGCGTCATGGTGAGGGCCGTCGACTTTGACCTGCGGGCTCGATTCGCTCGACTGCAGGTGGGCACGCGGGGCATCGTGCCAGGGGCGCCTGACATGCGGTCGAGAGTGACGCAGATTCACTGGTGAGGCGGTTACGGTGGAAGCAAGGGAAGGCTTTATGTGGCTTCAGCAGAGGCAGCAAGACGCGTCGCGTTGTTGAGGCTGGAGTGATTGGACCGGGTACGAAGGAACTGATTGATGATAGTTGGCCATGTCTTGAAGTCTTGATGATCGACTGGAATGCATCTCAGCGGTTCGACGGATCACGCCGCAGCGCTGCGTGAGAGATCAAGCCAAAAGAACGGATTGAGGAGGGGGTGGTGGGTTTACTTTTCATCAAAGCATGTTTTGGAGTTTGCTGGGAAAGAAGAATATGGCGATGATGCGCGAGCATGCAGGATGTACCTACGTACAGCCATGGCTGGTACCACCGGTGGTCAATACGCGTTTTTATTTTTATTTTGTGTTTCCAAATTTTACTCCAGTGCATGCGAGGGACATGATGACCATGATCAGTGAGTGACCTTGCGTTGCCTTTCTAGGTGCCTTGCGTCATTCGGCACGATAGCATGACTTGATAGCTGGGAGATGAAGACGATCGAAATTTCACGATAGAGCTGGAGCTCGGAGCTCCTGAAGACGCCTGAGCTAGTGAGGTTCGGTTGAGTAACAGCAGGGTAAGGTCAGTGGCGAACAGCTGCACGTGTCAAGCCAGCAGCCCGTTGTCTCGGTGGACGAGGTCCAGGGTCGGCCCCACATGGGACCCTTCCAAAAAGGCAGAAGGCGCCAGCGGATGGGGCGTACAGTCGGGCTAGGGCGCTTCCACCTCGCCTCCCCAGGGACGTTACCCGGTAGAGAAGAAAAAAGAAGAAGAAAAAACAAACCCCGAATCGGGGTACTGGTCAGAAAGGGCACGCCTCGCCGCGCGGATCTTCACCTTTAGAGAGGGGGGAGGGGGAGGGATCAGGGTCCAACCAATGACATCAGCTTGGGGAGCCAATGACACTTGGTGGAGGGTCCTAGAGGGGCAACGGTTGGAGGGGAACATGAAGATTTTTTTTTCCCCTTCCTTGCCCTTCTCTGTGTTGTCACGCAGTCTCTCAATCGCTCTCATCAGGCTGAGCCCGCTTGCTGCCCAGCTAGCTGGGCTAGCTGCCCCTGGCAACGTAGCTTTTTGGCGGGGAGCCCTCAAGGCCTGCGAGAGCTGGAAGGGGGAAAGGGTATTTAAGTGTGTTGGGGCGGAAGGTTGATGGAGGGGTATTAGAGCTCATCACATCTCACCGCATTTCCTGACTGTTCCTTCCCCTCCTGCATACCAACTTTTTTTGTTTTTGGATTCTTTCACGTCCTTACACCTTACTACACCCTCGGACTTGTTCTATCCCGAGTAACACGAGAAAGGTCTACACACACACACACACACACGTACATTAATACCATTGTCCTACAAAATGGCTGAGGAGTCGCCTATCAGCTACGAGCAGCTCGCTGCTATTGAGCGCGAGTTTGAGGATGTCGAGACCGAGATCAGTACGTGCGGTCCACCAGGACAGGCAACCGTGGTTGAGGAACCAAGAGCACCAAGCTAACAGAAGCGCGCAACAGTCCGCAAGCAGTACGAGCTGACGCGCCCCCTCTACGAGAAGCGCCAGGCCATCATCTCCAAGATTCCCAACTTCTGGCCCCTCGTTCTCGAGCAGGCGCCCCCCGACATTGACGAGTACATCCAGCCCCAGGACTCGGCACTGCTGCTGGCGGCGCTCAAGAACGTGTCCGTGTCGCGCTTCGACATTGAGAACGGCGCGCAGGGCGACCCGCGCAGCGTGTCGATCAAGCTCGAGTTTGGCGACAACGACTTCTTCGAGGACAAGGTCGTCGAGAAGAAGTTCTGGTACCGCCACTCGGATGAGTTCACCGGCCTCATCAGCGAGCCCGTGACGCTCCGCTGGAAGGCCGGCAAGGACCTCACCGGCGGCCTGCTCGACCTCGTCAAGAAGGTCTGGGACAGCGACGCGACGGCGTGGAAGGGCGGCAAGGGCGACTCGGCCGAGGCCAAGGCCCTGCGCGCCAAGATGGAGGAGACGGGCATGGGCGGCGTGTCCTTCTTTGCCTGGCTCGGCTACGTCGGCCGCAGGATCACCGAGGCCGAAAGCAAGGCGGCTTTCGAGAAGGAGACGCGCGAGATCCAGATGCGCCTCAACGGCGAGAAGGTCGACGGCGACGAGGAGATGGAGGACGACGAGGACGACGAGGACGACGACCTCGAGATCTTCCCCGGCGGCGACGACCTCGCGCAGGCCATCGCCGTCGACCTGTGGCCCGAGGCGCTCAAGTACTTTGCGCAGGCGCAGGAGATGGAGGCCATGAGCGATGTCGAGTTTGAGGACGATGATGACGAGGATGACGAGTAAACTTGTTGCATACGAAGCGGGAAACGCATGGTGTGCGGGGGAGTAGATATGATATCCACGACGAACAACTTGAAGAAGAAACAGAGTAACCACCTTGAAACGTCCGACGTTCCTGTCATCCTTGTGATTCGTGGCAATCTTGTCTTGGTGGTGTTGCAACTGATGGAAGGTGAGACCCTCCACTAGACACCCGGCGGTCGGCCCCGCAGCGGAGACAGTGCTTCGGCAGCCGACGGTGGGATACTCAGGGCATCATCGGCCGGCGACCGAAGCGGAATTATGAGCGGCCATCGGACATCGAGACCTCTCTTGTGTCTCTGATTAGCAAGCGACGACGGATACGCGCAGCCGTCACGCCCCATGTGTCTCGTTCGGCAAGTGGCCTGTCGAGAGCGACTGGCTAGTGAGGGTAGGTACCTAGCTACCTAGGTACCTAAGGTAGTGAAGGGCGTATGCCAGAAACGCGCGAGTCTGAATCGGGATGATGTCACAACTACGGACAGGAAGGCGCCCCGGGGATACGACTGGGGTCGCGCCTTCCCTACCCGTCGCAACCCCAGAGCGCCTGCCCAATGACAGCATTCCGAATAGACATCGTCGACTAGGTGCTCGACCAGGTGCATCTCGACCAGAGCGAAAAGTGATCGATTGGTAATCTCCCCATCTTCTTGCATCGTGTCCTTCCTCCGTCTGACGGCATCGTCATCTTCGCGGGTGTGTGAGTCTTAGGTACCTAGGACTGACCATGGCTCAGGCGAGTGAGACGGCGAAGGCGAGCCAACTGCATTACGCTCGATTGACGTATATAAACCGACCGTCTGGCCGCTTTTCCCACGACTCCGATGCGCGGGTTATTATTACAGAAGGATGAGATTACTTGCCTCGACAGCAGCAGCTAAAGTGATCACCCTTTCCCGACCATCATTGAAATCAATCCCCCTACCTGTCCCGCGATACCACCGACTGTCTACCTCGACAGCAGCTGCAACCATGGCGACAGCTTACAAGATTCACGTCTCCAAGACCAACACGGGCCTCCTCACATTTGATCAGCCTGAGCCTACGGCGGCCAGAACGACAGAGCTGCTTCAGTCAGATCTCGAGGTATGTCGGCACCGCCTCGGTTCGCCCTGTGCGTCCACTGAAAATCCCAGAACCACCACGTCTTCTTCAATCAGTCAGGGTATCACAATCATGTGAGAGTCTTCACTCCTACTATTAAACCACTCCGACTAAACACGGCCAGATTGTGCACCATCTCCTCGCCCTCTACGGCACGGGCGCATCCCCCGACTCACTCAACAGGGCCCATGAGACCAACACGTCGTACCAGCGTGCCGCCCAGCCGATACACCCCGCCCTTGCTGATGCCCTCGCAACGTCTTGGTCTGAGACGGCCCCGCGCCTCCTCGGGAAAGAGGCCTACTATCCAGACTTTCTGCTCTTCTTCCAGCGTGAGCTCGAATCCCGCGGCATCGGTCCCGTCCTGAAGGAATTCATCTTTGCAAAGGATGAGCGCGCAGAAGATCTCTTGCAGCGGCTCTTCGCTGGGTTCCTCCACCCCCTCATCCAGCTCATGTACGGCATTGAGTGGGAGCAGCCCGCCATTGTTGCTGAGGGGCTTGCCCAGGCTGCTGTGCACAAAAATCAGCTTGGCCCCTTCCTCAAGGAGACGGAAGAGGGCGCGGCTGGCGACATGCCCTCGATCCAAGAACTGCATGAAGCCATTGCGAAGAATGAAAAGTTGCGGAACGCCGCGCGGCCTGGGGACGACAACAAGGTCTATGATGGCGTGCTCATCAGAGCACCGGAAGAGATGAAGGCGATTGCGAAGCGGGTCAAGATCAAGACCGACGAGCTTGATGAGAGGACGGCTGAAATGTTCGAGACTGCGTTTTGGGTTGCCGCTGGCGCGGCGCTGAGGAAGGGCAAGGATGCGAAATGGGACTTCTTCCTCATGTGAGTAGCGACTCGATGGCCGCGCACATCCAAAAGAGGAGGGCGAACTAACGTTCTACAGCCACCACACGAACGCGGCCCCCTTCTTTGTCGCGTTGAACAAGACCGACTGGGTCTCAGTCGAGGACAAAGTGCGCATCCTCGAGTACAAGATCCGCCTCGACCTCGTGCAGAATGCCGCCAGGGGCACTCCCGAGATCCGCTTTGATGCTATCGCGGCATACAGACCCAAGGATCTCGACCGTGGAAAGGCACTCATGGCACGACCTGAAGACCTGCTGCCGCGCTTCCACGCCATCGACGATGACGGCCACACCGTCAAGGTCGCTCGCTCCCTCGCGGTGTGTCGGGAGCTGTGTGAGCCGTATGCCGATCGGCCCTGGAAGAAGGTAAAGAGTGATGATGTTTGGCTCAAAATGCACTATACGCTGCTGGATGGCACAGAGGGCGGAGAAGAGGAAGGCGGTCGATGGGTGCGCGCCGCCGGCTTTGACGAAAGCTGGGAGGTACGTCTCAAACAAATTCATGCTCTACTACAAGCAAGGCTAACAACATACAGGATGTCCCCAACCGGTCGTGAGATTCACCATGGGAAATTGTACACGGGGTATATTAGTTGCCGTCTTAGTCTAGCCCAATCCAACCGTCCTCATCCGATCCATCGTCTGAGCCTTCCGCCGCCACTGCTGCCGTGATGACCTTGCTCTTTTCCGGTGCCGCCTCCAATGCCAGCTGTCCCTCGCCCACGGGTCCCTTGGCCTGCCCCAGCAGATAGTCCACCATGTAGACGTTGTCGTCGGCCAGCCTGCGAATCTCATCACGCATGCGCGAGACGGCTCGGGAGACGACCCGCAGCTCGACGTCGACCTTGGCGCGGTTCTGCGTCAGCCACGCGCCGTGCTTGTCGACGAGGGCCTTGATCCACAGCAGGCAAAACTCCATGTGCGGCGTCTCTTCCGTCTGCGCGGCCACGAAACGCACGAGGCGCGGGACGTACACGATCGGCAGGCCGCCGACAACGAGGGGAATGTCGGCGTGCGGCACGCCGAGGAAGACGCGCTTGATGAGGTTCGCCTCGTTGAGACGGAAGGCCATGACGAGCGCCTTGAGGTAGTCCCTGTCGTCGAGGACGGCGAGGGTCGACGCGGGCGTGATCTCCATGGCCAGGTCAAAGGGGTCAAAGGCCAGGACGTCGTCGAGGCTGTAGACGAGGAGGCCCTCGGTCGAGGCGGCGCAGAAGGCGTTGCCGGCGGGCGAGAAGGCGACGCCGGTGACGCGGACCTCGGGGGCGCGACGGCGCGCGGACGGGTCGCCGCCGCGGCGGGCGCCGGGCAGGGCCTTGTCGCGGCGGTCGTCGCGGTCCGAGGCCTCGCCCTGGTCGTCGAGCTCGCCCTCGGGCCCGCCCTCGGTGAGGAGCCTGCTGTTGAGGAACTCCTGCGTGCCGGACAGGGAGAGGTTGACGCTGACGGTGAACTTTTTGAGGAGCACCATGGTGTGCACCGAGTAGAGGCAGATGTACTTGCTGTTGCCGCCGGCGAGCACGCACGAGCCGTCGGTGCTGTAGCGGATCTTGTTGAAGGCCTTTGTGCCGGCGACGTTGGCGGCGGTGCGGCGGTCCGTGGCCTTGCGGCCGCCCGAGACGTCGCGCCGGCCGTCGACGCCGGCGACCTGCTCGGCGTCCGTGACGGACCAGAAGGTCAGCTGGCCGTCGAGCGTCGAGACGGCGAGCTGCAGCGAGTCGGGGCGGACGGCAATGTCGAGCACGTCGGCCTGCAGCTGCAGCGGCTCGCTCGTCTGGGTGCGGTTGAAGATGGACCAGATGCGCGCCGTGCGGTCCCAGCTGCCGGAGATGAGCGAGTCGCCGTTGGGCGTAAAGGCGAGGGCCGACACGGGGCCCTCGTGGCCGGACATCTGGTCGAGCAGCTGGCCCGTCTGGACGGACCAAATGTGCACGTCGAACGAGTCGAGCGAGCCGGCGGCGACGACCTCGCCGCTGGGGTCGACGGCCATGCAGGAAAAGGACAGCCTCGTGGGCGCCGTGAAGGTGCGGAAGTTGCGGTAGCGGATGAGGTCCCAGGCGCGGATGGAGCCGTCGAGACTGGCGGTGAAGAGGACGTTGCCCTTCTTGGCAAACTCGCACGCCGTCACGCCGCTCGTGTGCTCGGTGAAGGTGACGATGCAGAAGCCCGACTCGACGTCCCACACCTTGATCTTGCCGTCGTCGGCAATGGTCACGATGCGCTGGCCGTCGGGCGAGTAGACGAGCGAGTTCATCGAGTCAAAGTGGCCCTGCTGCTTGAGGATGTACGACTCGGACTGCCACTCCCACACGAGGAGCTGGCCGAGCTTGGAGGCGCCAAAGGCCAGCCACTCGCCGCTCTTGTTGATCGTGACAAAGTCGATTTCGTTTTGGGAAATGTTGAGCGTGTGGATCTGGTTGAAGTCGGGCATCTCGTAGAGGCCGAAGATGCCGTTGGAGAAGCCGGCCACGAGGAGGTTGGATTCCGGGTGGAACGCCGCGCACCGCACGTTGGCGTCGTTTTGGTGGAAGTAGTGCCTGTTGACGATCCTCCACCGCATGTCGGCCTCCTTGTCGTCCAGCGCCATGTCGTCGTCGTCGTCGTCGTCGTCGTCGTCGTCGGCATCCTCCTGCCGCCTCGGCCTGCCGACGTACTGCCAGTCAAAGACGGCGCCGTCCTTGCTGACTGTGTAGATGGTCTCCTGGTTCTCGGAGAACCAGGCGCCGACGACGGCCTGCTTGTGGCCCGAGAGCACGGTGGGCACGAAGCCGTCCTCGGGGTCGAGGCTCCATATCCTCGCCGTCATGTCCTTGGACGCGCTCAGGAAGAAGCGCGAGTCGCTGGACCACTCGATATGGCGGACATCGTCAAAGTGTTGTGTGTGGGTGTGGTGCTTGACAAAGGGCGCAAACTCGAGCTCGCCGGCGGCGTTCGAGTCGGGCGTCGAGGGGACGTGCCAGACCTCGATCTTGCGGCCGAGGCCGACAGCGAAGTGACGGCCCGAGGGCGCAAAGGCGAGGGCCGTGACCTTGCCGCGGAAGGAGAAGTGGTAGGTCGCTATTCGGCGCTGGACATTGGTCAGGATGGCGTGGCCGTCCTCGTCGACGGAGAGCAGGAGGTTGCCCCGCGGCGTGAGGCCGATACGGGCGATGTTCTTGCGGTGGGCAAAGGGAAGCGTGTGCGACTTGTTGCTGCGAGGGATGCCATGTCAGCTGTATGGTCTCCTCAATGGCTACAGGAGTGACGAGGGCCGTACTTGACCAGGTCAAAGACGGTCACTCTGTTGCCGACGGGCGAGTAGAGCTGGGTGCCGTCGGGACTGTAGAGCAGGTTGCCCTGGCAGTACACCGTACCGAGCAAGTTGGAGAACTGGGGCGGTCAGTCAGCGGTGAGTCTCAAAGGCAAGAGGCGAGGTCTCACCTTAAAGTCGGTCTTCATGATTGCCTGGGCGCCGCTTCACTGACGTCTGGGAATCGTGGTCGTCGTCGCATTTCTCTGGTGGGCTTCTTGGTTCTTGGTCCTTCCTGCCTCCGATCGAGAAAATGCTTATCGATAAGAAAACTTTCGGCGGGGGGCCGGTGGATAATTCTTCCAGAGCTCCTTGCGACCCACCAGGTGCGCTACGCTCAGGAGGGAAAGGCGGCGTCTTGCTCAGGATCCAGGGACGGCTCCCTCATTGGGCAAGAAAAAGGGGACTCCTCATTCCCTTTTCGCTTGTCTCCCCCCCAGCAGCCGGCAGGGAAATTTGGCGGGCAGTTTCCCCCCCCCCCCTGATTCTGAAAGCACGAGCACAGCTCAGCATCTTTGGCCCGATCCCCGTCCAACGGTCATCCCATACTTCTCGACCTTCGATACACCCCCCAAAGAGCCTGACCCAACCTCGACCTTGCCCTCGACCCATCTGCGTGCATCGTTCACTCCAGCTCGCGTCGATTCCCTTTCCAGAACACCGCCATTGACTCTGTGACGGATTATCATCAACACACATTCAAGATGGCTCCTCCCACCGCCGCCGAGAGCGCCTCACCGATTGGCATTGCCAACCTCCCTAACCAGCGTCACAAGATTGTCGCCAAGAGGGGAGCTGGCTTCACCATCATGGTCCGTTCCTCTCTGTGCAATGATGCGTCTGTCTTGATCAAACCACCATGCTGACGGGATACCAACAGGTTGCCGGCGAGTCTGGCCTCGGAAAGACCACCTTCATCAACACGCTGTTCTCCACGACCATCAAGAACTATGCCGACCACAAGCGACGACACCAGAAGCAGGTCGACAAGACGGTCGAGATTGAGATTACCAAGGCCGAGCTCGAGGAGAAGTTCTTCAAGGGTAGGCCTGACACGTCCCCTTTCCGTCCATGACAGGAGATGACCAGAGGCTGACCTGCACAGTTCGCCTGACCGTCATCGACACCCCCGGCTTCGGCGACTACGTCAACAACAGGGACTCGTGGATGCCCATCATCGAGTTCCTCGACGACCAGCACGAGTCCTACATGCTGCAGGAGCAGCAGCCCCGCCGTCAGGACAAGATCGATCTCCGAGTCCACGCCTGCCTGTACTTCATCCGTCCCACCGGTCACACCCTCAAGCCCCTCGACATTGAGGTCATGAAGAGGCTGTGCTCCAGAGTCAACCTCATCCCCGTCATTGCCAAGGCCGACACCCTCAGCCCCTCTGACCTCGCCCGTTTCAAGCAAAGGGTACGCCTATTTTCATTTTCTTTTCTTCCTTCCGTCCGTCCGCACGTGGAGCGGTGAGCATCCGCTAACAGAGAGCCCTTGTCCAGATCCAAGCCGTCATTGAGGCCCAGAACATCAAGATCTACCAGCCGCCGATCGAGGAGGATGACGAGGCCGCCGCCCAGCACGCGCGCAGCCTCATGGCCGCCATGCCCTTTGCCGTCATTGGCTCCGAGAAGGACGTCAAGACGGGCGACGGCCGCATCGTCAAGGGTCGCCAGTACTCGTGGGGTGTCGCCGAGGTCGAGAACGAGGACCACTGCGACTTCAAGAAGCTGCGCTCCATCCTCATCCGCACCCACATGCTCGACCTCATCCACACCACCGAGGAGCTGCACTACGAGGCCTACCGCGCCCAGCAGATGGAGACGCGCAAGTTCGGCGAGGCCCGCCCCCGCAAGCTCGACAACCCCAAGTTCAAGGAGGAGGAGGAGGCGCTGCGCAAGCGCTTCACCGAGCAGGTCAAGATCGAGGAGCAGCGCTTCCGCCAGTGGGAGCAGAAGCTCATCGCCGAGCGCGACCGCCTCAACAAGGACCTCGAGCAGACACACGCCCAGATCAAGCAGCTCGAGACGGAGCTCGAGGCCATGCAGGGCACCGGCGCCATCCGCAGCCACGGCCGCCGTTAAGCGTCCCGTGTCCAGGCTGGTTCCGCGGGACCGTACACGTCTCCCTCGTCGCTCGGCGGTCCCCGTTTTCGTGGTTTGGAGTGGACAACGACCGAAAAAGCTCGATGCTTCTCCAACGTGCTCACGGATCTGCCTGCTTGTTTGCTCGCTTGCGCCTCTGGCGGTCGGGAAAGTTCTTTTCTGTTCCCGTAGGGCGGGAAGGGTTTAGGGGGATGGCGAGAGAGAGAGAGAGAGTGTGCTGCATGTATGAAGTTCTGCGCATGCTCCTTTCCCCCTCCCCTCACCCCCCCATGACCCAAGAGGTCTTCCAGCACCTCTGCGAGCAAGAGGGCGAGGCAGGCTGGCGTTTCCCGATTTTTCTCAACATGCGTCCGTTCTCTGTTTCCCATTGCAGCTACTACCCCCCCTTTTTTTGTTATGCCAAACTTAGTCGGCCGCCTTTTAGTACTTGAGGCTACGTACGATGTAATAGCTCACCTGTTCATGATACCAAGAAACGCCACACCATCGTCTCATGTGCATGTTGAATGAAGGCAGTGTGTGTGTGTGTGTGCATTGCAAAAGTGAGGATGAGAAAACCCAGTAGGTTAAAATTCATAAAACCGATGCTACCCAAGTCGCTGAGCCCCTTACGTCTTCCCTGACGTTCCGATCCTCCATTGCTCAAAAACCCCGTGTCCCGTCCGTGCAGCTGTAGATGTTTGCCAGGCACGAGGTTTGAAGCCGAACAAAAACAAATGCTGCTCCCCCCCCCTATCCGTCGATGGGTTCTATTCCGCCCGGCACACACCCCCAGGACTCATATCGCGTCCATGGACGCCCTCGTCGTCAGCTGCTCGTTCTTGTTGCCGAGCTTGGAGATTTGCAAAAAGGCGTCGACGCCGTAGCCCCAGAGGCTGTGCAGCTCGAGGCCGCCGGCCCAGTACTCGGCGTAGACGCGGCTCAGGGGCAGGCCGATGCCGAGGCGGAGGTTGGGCGGGCGGCCGGTGAGGGAGGCGAGGGAGCTCTCGTAGCTCGGCGTCTTGAGGTCGGCGCGGCCGAGCTCGTCCGAGACGTGCAGCTCCTGCATGGTGGCGGCGAGCTTGGGGACGCGGCGCAGGTTCTCGAGCCGGCGGCGGCTCTGGGGCCCGCTGCTGAAGGACCAGAGGTACGGGAGCTCGTTGGTGGGGATGCCGCCGCCCTGGTCCGAGATGCGGATCATGACGTGCTGCTGGGCCTCGCAGATGGTCACCTCGATCGGCGGCGGCGGCTGCTGCTGCTGCTGCTGCTGGGCGGCGGTGGCGTCGAGCCCGCCCTCGGCGGCGAGGCGCTGCTGCCGCTCGATGACGGCCTGGACCGCGTTGCGCAGGAGCTCGCCGATGATGTACTCAATGTGGCTGAGGATAAAGGGGAAGCTGGCGTCGAGGTGGCCGTTGACCTTGATCTCGGGCACGCGCACGTCCGGCCCGTAGGTCGAGCGCGCGAGCTTCTCGACGGCGCTCGAGCACCGTTCCACGACGTCCCTGGCCACGCACTTGATGAAGACCTCGCCGATAAAGTCCGACTCGTGCAGCTTGGCGCCCGGCGAGAACCAGTCGGCGCCGAACGTCTCGGTCAGCGCGAGGTGCTGCTCTGCAATGACGCGTCTCGAGATTCTCTGTGGAGGAGGAGGGGGGTACCGGTCAGTGGTCTGTCTGTCTGCCGGCCTGTCTGCCTGCCGGCCTGCGTGTCACTCTGAACAGGGCACACGTACCGATCGCAAGATTGTGTTCATGAAGTGGTCGAGCACGGCGGGATCAATGTGGCCGTTGCTCTCTAATATGCCCATGGCCAGCTTGGGAATGACGGTCAGGTGCGTCTTGAGCATCTTGCCGATAATGCTGCACAGGTGGTCGTTCTCCTCGAGCGTCTTGACCTCCTTCACCTTGCGGAACGTGTCGAAGGCGTTGTGGTAGAGCTCGTAGACGTCGCTGATGTGCGGGTTCGTGACGACGCCATAGGGCAACTGCTGCATGTCGCGGATGCGGTGGGCGATGCTGCGCGGGCGGGCATGTCAGTGACGCTGCGGCGGCGGTGGAAGGGGGAAGGGGGAAGGGGGGGAGGCGGGAGGGCGGTTGATGGAGAGCTGTTGGGTTCGCATACCGAGTGGGCAGTTCCGTCCGCACATAGTTGGCAGAGCTCAAGAGTCGAGATTCGGTCAGGGAGCGCCCAAAGACCATGAGCTGCCGCAGGCTAATGGGTCGGGCCTCACGAGCCACCCATCTGGAGGAGGAGGGGGCGCGCACGTTAGCATGTGACCCAGCCGAGCAGCGCGTGGATTGGGGGCGGAGGAGACAACTTACTCGTCGAGAACGGAGACGGCTCTCCAGGCCGAGTTGTTGATGTGCCTGCATTGTGGTCGTGTTCGTGGCGTCGTTGTGGTTGTTTTCGTCGTAGGCGAGGCGAGGGTGCTCCTCAGTCTGCATCGTCTGCCAGCCTTGGGCAACGCGATGGTGAGCATGCTGGCGATGCCATGCGAGAGGGGCGGCAGACGGGTGGAAGGTATTGTCGCCAGAACAAGAGGTTGTCTTCGGAAGGTCTAAGGATAGCTGCTATGACCGGGAGAGGGGGGCATAGAGTGCCGCGTAGTCGTGGTTGAGGGTAGAGATGCCGGAAGCTTGATGCTGCAAGTACCTTTCTGTAGGGTACCTTCCCTCGGAGGCAGTAGTGGAGAGAGAGGTCGAGTCGATGACTCCAGCAGCTTTGACCGGTGCCGGCGGGCGGGTGGGGCCACATGCTACCCCACTCTTGGTCATCGTGGTGGCCAGCTGGCATCTCTTGTTTGCAGCTGTATGTCCTTTGAGACGGCACACGATACGATGCACGGATAGGTACATACATGTACACGGCCCCAGCGGAGAGTGGACGGTAGGTACCTCGATTCACGACGACGCAGGCGCCAGCAGCCAGCCAGGTCACTTCGCGTCTTCAATTTTCGAGCCATCACATCCATCACCTTTCCACCACCACCAATTCCATCCACCACCCGCATCCACCATCTACCGTCCGCACCTCCCATCGAAATCCATCGACCCAACCTGCACGAAACGGAAACGAACACATCGCTGTGCAATCGATGGGCTCACCTTGGGGCGGAAACAGGCCCTGATCCGACCATCGACCCCACTCCATCATCGACACGTTTCTCTCTCTCTCTCTCTTCCCCTCCTCCTCACAATGGCGTCCAGCGACCTCCGCGACGTCCTCAACCTCGACGCACACGCCGGGCCCCGGCCAGCCAAGAAACTCAAGACGGCCGCATCACGACCGAACCTCAAGGGCCTCGCGCGCGAAGTCCAGAACCTCGGCGGCGACAACCCCATCGCCATCGTGCCCGAGGTCTCCGTCTTCAAGAAGCGACGCATCGCCGTCCGGAAACCCGCCGCGCGGTGGGAGCTGCGCGCCTTCCAGAACTCGTCGCGCGGCGACGACGGCGCTTTCGTCCTGCGCCACTGGCGGAGGAAAACAGACGGCGACGACGACGCGGCCCGGCCCGCCGCCGCGCCGCACGCACAGGGAGACGCCGCCGCGCCGGCCGAGCCCAAGGCGCAAGAACACAAGCGGGAGCAGGTGCTGGAGGACTCGGCGTTCGCCAAGTACAACGTCCACGTCGACGTGCCGCAGTATAGCCCGGACCAGTACCAGACCAACCTCGTGAGCGCCGACTGGACCAAGGACGAGACGGACTACCTCATGGGGCTCGTCAGGGAGTTCGACCTGCGCTGGCCCGTCATCTGGGACCGCTACGACTACGCGCCCGAGGCCATCAACGGCGAGGCCTCGGCCGACGGGGACGAGAGTAAGGCCATCATCCCCGTGCCCAAGCCGAGGACCATGGAGGCCCTCAAGGCCCGCTACTACGAAATCGCCGCCAAGATGATGAGCGCCCAGACCCCCGTCCAGTACATGACGAAAGAAGAGTTTGCCCTGCACGAGACCATGCTCAACTTCAACCCCCAGCAGGAGCGCGTCCGCAAGGAGTTTGCCGTCAACGGCCTCAGCCGCACCAAGGAGGAGGCCAACGAGGAGGAGTCGCTGCTCGTCGAGATCAAGCGCATCCTCGCCCGGAGCTCCGTCTTCAACGAGGAGCGCCGCGAGCTCTACAACCGCCTCGACTACCCGCACACCGACCAGGACATCAACGCCTTCAAGTCGAGCACGGGGCTCCAGACGCTGCTGCAGAATATGATGGCCGTCGACAAGAACAAGAAGCGCAAGTCTCTCATGGGCGCCGACGGCGTCAGCCCCGGCACCCCGGGCCAGCAGCAGGCAGGCGCCGGAGCTGCTGCTGCTGGTGCCGCCGCCGCCGCCGCCGGCGCAGCGGCAGCAGCCGAAGCCTCGGGCAACAGACGCGAGAGCATCGCCGTCTCGGCGGCAGGCGGCCACAGAGATTCGATCGGCAGCGTGGCGCAGACGCCGACGACCGAAAAGGGAGGAGGCGCCGGCAAGAAGGGCGCGCAGACGCCGCACGAACGACGCAAGCTCTCCGAGGCCGAAAAGTTCATCTACGGCGTCTCCCACCACGACCGCCTACAGGCGGGCCCCACGTTCCGCTACGAGAAGATCAACAAGCTCTTCACCAACAAGTCGGGCCAGCAGCAGATCCGCATCGCCAACGCTCTTAACGAGCTCGATATTCCACAGCGCCTCGTCATGCCCACGGCCGCCGTCACGGCCCAGTTTGAGCAATTGCTCGGCGCCATCAACAGCCTGCTCGACGCCCGCAAGGTCACAGACAAGATTGACGCCGAGATCAAGATTGAGCTTGCGAAAAAGGCACAGCGGGAGCCCAAAGACAAGGACAAGGATAAGGACAAGGAAGAAGACAAGGAGCAGCAAGCCAAGGACGCCAAGGGCGAAAACGTGGCCGAAGGGAGCGCAGCCGAGGCAGCCAAAAGCGACAAGGCAAAGGACGACGAGCAGCCGGACGACGACGACGACAACGACGACGAGCCTGTCAAGGCGAACAAGAAGGCTGATCGCAATGGGGACGCGGCCTCCGAGGAACCGGCCGCTGCTGCTGCTGCCGCCTCGGTCGAGACGAACGAGGAAAAAGCCTCGCCGGCCAAGGCGGCGAGGCCTCCGAGCAGCAGCGGTCCCCATAAACGGAGCGCCAGCGTCTTGAGCGGTGTTAGTGACAAGAGCGCCAAGAGGTTGAAGAAGTGAAGAAGGCGAACGGTTGCTGGGTAAGCAGGGGAACATCTCGCCTGCTAGTCACCCTGCCGCCACGGACAAAACACACCATCTGCGGTGCGAACGAACAACTGTACAATTAATTCAAGACTAGCGATGGATGCTTTCAGCCTTTACGGCATCACGGCGTTGGGGGGGACGGGGGACGGGGGACGGGAACGCGGTCACAATGATTCCAAACTCGTCGTATTCGGGACGGTTGGTTGCTGGTGGTCATGACAGCCAGGTCCGTCAACAATGAAGTCAGGACATGATTATCCCGCCAAGTATGCCGCTTCCAACTAGTGATCTGTCAGTACCCGTGTCAACTTGCTACTAAAAATGGGTGGCGGATCCGAGTTGAACATCACAAGACCCAAACGGCAAAAGTAATCGTACGATTTCTTGCACGTGACAGTGGACAATCCGCGAATCGAACGCGGGACCTTCAGCAGGCAATATTCGATTTCCCTCAACCGGAGGACTCTCGATTCCCAGATGCTAAGCAGACGTTATACCACTAAACCAATCGCCCATGTTAATTTAATGGTGGGGTCTAGAGAATGAGGGGCTTCTTCAGGGCTGTAGGCCCGCCTCGGACCAGGGGTAGCGGCGGAGAGGGGATCCGAAGATATCGCCAGACAAGATACAATCAGCCATTCGCGATCGCCGAATCTATTATGAGAAATTAAAAAATGGCCTCACATATACATGTAAAAGACGCAGAATGGCCTGCCTGGGCTCGGGGGGTTGAGCGACAAACTTCACAGGGGAGAGGCCAGGAGGTTGATATTGGAGGACACGAGATGACGTCTCGTTAAGCATGGGGCTTTATCGGCGGCTGCAGCTGCAGTCCCGATTCCCAAATATAGAAACCATATGGATGGCCGTGGTCTAATAATAACCATGCCGGCGTTTCCTTGCCCCGGGAGATCGGGAAGAAACATCACAGAAAGCACGTCAAGGCGGGCCCGGCTCAGGGATCGCACCCACATCCGCGGGAGGAGGGCGTCACTCCTTGGTAGCTCGGCATGTAGAAATCAAGGGTCTTCTCCAGGGGGGAGGTGTGATGTGTGGAAGGGCGTGTGCATTCATGACGACCTCCACGCGCCGCGGTAGACATGCCGGAAGGGGGGGGGGGGCATCATGTTGCCTCGCGCGGCAGATGAGGATGATGTCAGGGGTTGGTCGGCCGTGAACCAAGGGTCCGATCTAGATTAAGGGGTTCGTGGGCGCGATACGGAGCCACCTCGTGGTGGTGAGAGACAGGCAGGGCGCGTCGAGGTTGGCGTCAACGGTGCCGTATCCGTCTACTTGTCGTAGAACGGTGGATGGCTGTCGATATGGTTGGTGTTCGAGAACGCCCATATGCATCTTCTAACCTCAGCGTAACGCCCAGCACGATGTATATCTAGCGTCGGCGGGCATGCCACGCCGTATGGTTGCCCTACGAACCAAAGATGTTGCCATGTTGGACCCTTGAGGTTGCGTGCCTTGCATAGAAGTTCGAGCTCGGCGCCTGGAAAGGGCCGCCTCCCGGGTCGAGATATTGTTCAATCCCGCCATACCCCCCCTGGCACGGGAGTTATTAATAGGGATGTAGGCGCCGGACATGCAATGGTACGCAATCTGGCTCTCGGGTCTGGATTATCTGGGGTAGAGTCAGCTTAGAAGAAGCGTTCGAGAAGGAAGGGGTTGAACGCATGCCGTGGAACGAAACCCGTCGTTCTGCAGGGCTTCGGTCGGCGCTTAACGGGCGTCTAAGGGTATTGCAAGCGGATCATTGGTTGAGGGAGAACCAAAGCCAATCAGTACAGTCAATGGACTCAACTCCAGAACAGATCCTGATCCAAGGTTCTTCCAAACAACCAGGGGCTCCCATCGAGTGTCGTAACAATACATATGGATTCAACTGTTGGAGTCGACAGTCGCCGAGGTTTGGGGTCGTGGCGTGATCCGCGACCGGGAGAGGAACCACGAAGCTTGGCCAGCGCATGAGTGATTGATTGAACCGAGACAGCCAACATGCTGACATGAATATCCTCCAGTCCTGATACAACGACTGCCAGAGACTCCACAGCTTGGACTCATTGTCGCTGGATGCGCCCAGCCGGGTCGAGTGACGGGGATGGAAGGATGTCTTTTGTGAACTTGGCAGCACAGTCAGCCAGGAAAGGTATGGCCATCCTGGATCCTTCACTTTGGCGCCCTCGTGGATGACCTCGTTGACTGTGTCTTTGCGACGGCCGACTCAAGCACGTCCAACGCCTGCGATCCTTGCCAAATGTTTTGTGTTCCATCATCTTCTCATGGCCACGGGACATGCTGGCTCTTTCGTAGGCCCATCAGGCCTCCCGCAAATGCATGGTCGGTAGATGATCCCCCTTCTCCCACAGGGCGCGCGCTCTGCAATTGCCTCGTTGAAACTCGTCAGTGTCGTCGGGCACTCTTTTGACGATTTTGCACATGTAGACCCCTCACTCGACCGACGCATGATCCACTTCTATCACACCTGATTCTACCAAAAGAAAAGCAGTTATAGACGGGCCGGTCTTGGGCCTTGCATGCGACGATCCATGTTGTTGAACTCTTGTTTGAACGTATCAATATGCAAGATCGGACAGCCTGGCCGCCAGCCTCTTGGCCTTCGTCTGCTCCAACGAGCCTTGTTATCCTCGCCCTGGTCTGCGTGATGGATGGGTGCCAACAATAGAACGCCCGGCGTTTCTTTGTCCTGATGACCCGATGGGCGACCAACGACGCGAGATAGGATCCTCCACTGAGACTGGCTGAAAATTCGGTTGCGTTCGAGCAGACCGTGCCGCAGCCACGCGTCGATCAAATGGCGACGTCTCTTACAAGCAAGCCTCATCTTACCAGACGAGAAGCCAACGAAGCGCAAACGAGCCTGCCGAGTTGCCCCACGATTAATAGGCGCTGTTCGCCAACCCCCCTGGGCGTGACGACCGCTTCAGATTGTCGCCTTCTCACGCCGTTTGAGCTTGCACTGGCGCTGGCGCTGGCGCGACCCCCGATCCACTATGGCTCGAGTGTGCCATCCCGTTGCAGTAGCTGTTCGCTCACTGCGACGCTGTACGAAAACGAGCCCTTGCAAAAGGGCAGTCGGAGGGGACCAGCGCGCCAACTTCCGGTGGCACACGTCTTGGCCACAAGTTGCCGTCACGCTACAGCGCAAGGTAACCCAAGCACCCCTGGCTGACCCGCCAAAGCCGCCGATACCGAGGCTTTCTTGCACGTGCTGATCGTAGGTATCAACCGGAGGCGACCAGCCATACATTGCACGATAGCGTCGTAAACCCGCAGCAAAGCCCTCGAGTTTATCCTACCCGTCAGGTCGTTTTGTTCTGCCCCAGCCAAGTCCTTTCCGGCACGGGTATCCACGGGGCCTACCTGCGGCTGCGAGTCGACTGCCCGTTTCGGATGATGAAGGAGCAGTGGACCTAGGAGCCGCGAGCTTGACCACTCACCACACCACCGTTCGTCGGAGCACAAAGCCACGCCAATGGTGGCTGGACCCCCCGCAAGGCGGACGTGACAAGTCAGCACTTGTGCAGGGAATTTGACGACAGCCGCATCACTTGCTACGGCAAGCATGCATCCTTCGTCACACTGCTGTCAACCGAAGGAGGGATGACAGCCTCCAGGGCTTGATCAGATGTGAGGGAGCGTATTCTCTCAGCACCTTCCACAGCATAGCAGACAACGAACTGAGATAGTCGCGGCGATGAGGAGGGGAGGCATCAAGGCGGAGAGGGAAGAGGGAAATTTGCCGCTCTGCCTCGCCCGGCGCTTGGCCATGGGTTGACGGGCGACTAGGTCTTCTGCTCCTCCTCATTGGCCAAGAGTCGCAATTGAGTCATCCAATAGGATTGATCATTCCTGTCAACCGTCTTTCGGTTCAGCCGTGGACGTTTCGAGGGAAGCCAACTTCTTTCTACCAAGCCAAGACGTTTACGAACATGGCTGATCAGATGCATTCGCCCAACCAGCTGAAGTGCTGGAGTTTTATTGTTCTTGGAGCCTGTGGTCCTGCACACCCTGTTCGAGTGTGTCGCGCTCCCCGAAGACCGTTGGGGCGCATTCATACCCATACCCATACTCACCAAGATGACCAGATTTCCATCTTGGCGGATGCGGTTTGGACCCAGTGTTCAGGCAGTAGTAATGGCAATATTGGCCTGGTTTGGTCCCGTTCGCCTAGTAGAGCTGGGGAAATCGAGCTTCTCCAGCGAAAGCACGTTTGGGTCGATCAGGGTCGCACGTCTAAAAATAATCATGGTCGGCTTCCCATGCGGCAGCACGCGGAGCGTGCCAGGATAATGGCGTACGAATGGTTTCATGCGACCAGGTCGTCGTGCAGCGGCAGGCGAGGATTGGAAGTGGTGAGGTGTGGGAGGTTTGGCGTCCTGCAGCTGGACTGCAACGCATTCGCCCGAAGTGCCGGCAACGTCGCAGGGCCAGTGCCCCGTGGTCATGAGAACGGAGAGCCTTCGCCGTGACTCGTTATCCGTTCGAGGTAAAGTCGTCTACCCACCTTCGTTGCAGGTTGCGATGACACTGGTACGCCTCTTGCCCCCCTGCGTGAGCGACATTTGACCTCAAGAGTTTAACGGGGCCGAGAAATAAGTTATCTCAGCACCACAAGGTCATCATGGGCGTGTTGGTTTTCGGCTGGCAGTTTGTTTTTTCCTGCCATGAATGTAAAGTGTTTCGCCGTATCCTGATGGAGGGCGGGATCGTCTGCACTGCCGCGTAGCCATTTCCAGTGGCGGCTGTGGTTTCGGCAAGTCAGGGACGCCCGCGAGAAAATGAAATACGAGGCGCGCCAGGCCTGTTAGCTCAACGCTTTGGGGTTAGCGGAGCACTGTTAAACGCGGGTACAAGCCCCATGGCCAGAGTAGGGCGCGCTGTGTTGGTTACGTAGCCAGGCAAGCCAGGCTCCCGCGCCAGATTGCATGACACACGTTAGCCCA